CACCTACAACTACAACTCTTCACCCCGCCCCCTACTGCATACAGGATGGACCCTGCCCAGGGGATGAAAAATGCTGCCAAGTGGGGAATGTGAGGAAATGCACCCTTCCTAAAGGAGGTGGGTGAGCCCCTCCCCAATTTAGGGCAAGATGGATGGAGGGTTGGGGGGGACAGGTTCGGAAGTGGAAGGTGGAGAGTCCAGGTGGAAAGCCCAGTTCACCTCATGTCCCAGGATCCGATTCCGCTCTTGCCAGGGCTCTCCTTCCTGGGAAAGGGCAGAATGCCACCCTCCCGGTGCTGCGGTGCCCTTCCGAACAATCCCACAGCACACATTCTTTGTGCCGCGTCTACTAGTGGTAATCGGCTGGGAGGGCAGATCTGCCCAGCAGTGGGCAACCTGAGGGACACGTTCGGACACAACTGCAGAAGATGCCAGGAGACCTTCTTGCCCACTCTGTGCCCACACTTTCTCTTCCAGTGCATCAAGGTTACTGCCCCAGGCGAGAAGACCAGGCCGTCTACAAGAATCCCTGTGCTGGAGACCATCAGTGTGGGTGGCATGAGAAATGCTGCAGGACGGATGGCCACAGGAAGTGTGTCCAGGCTGTGCCAGGTAGAGTCTCTGCCAGACACGGGTTCCCTCTTACCTGGAGGGTCTCAGGTGGACGCCTCACGGTATGTGAACTCTGAAAAAATGAGAGTTCTCCATCTTTAGGGGGTGCCATCATCACCCCTTGGGGCATTCAAAGAAGATGGCTGCTGTGGGGACAGACTTGACCACTGCTGAAATAGCTGCCAAACGGAGAGAGGCCATCCAGGATCCTTCCTGGTAACCTTCTGGTGGGGTGGATGTGTGACCCATGAAGCCCCCCCCAGGCTTAGTTGCTATGGAAACCCCTGAGCTCACCTGGAAATGAGGAGGAGGCTGGAGGCTCTGGAGAATCCACTTTCCTTTTTAATTTGGTTCAAGGTGAAGTCCTACCGAGTCAGTTGGTGAGGGAAGAAAAGTAGACACGGAATCCTTGGAAGCAACTCCAATGGGTATCCAAGGGAGCCGTGCTTCTGATGGGTTGGGTGTCTGAGTGCAACCCCTTCCCCTTTGCTGACCCCCAATCCTAGCCCCTGTTGCTCCAGGATGCTTAATCCATTCCCTCCCATCTGGCTACCATGGGGCCCTTGGTGCTCTCAGAGCTTGATGGTTTTGACCCTCACCAGACATGACCTCCCCATCACAAGACTCATCACAAGACCCTCACCTTATGTGACCCACACCTGATCCATCACAAGACCCTCACCTTATGTGACCCACACCTGACCCAACACAAGACCCATCACAAGACCCTCACCTTATGTGACCTACACCAGCCCCCTCACAAGATCCATCACAAGACCTTCACCTGACATGACCCACACCTGACCCTTCACAAGACCCATCACAGGACCCTCATCTGACATGACCCTCCCACCCCAAGACCTCTTCACCATGCCTGAAGCCCTCATAAGCAGAAGAACACCAAAACTGATGTCCTCTAAATTCCAATGAAAATGTTACCTAGCCTGGTAATGAAACATCTGGAAACCGACCCACCAGCTTGGAGAAAGAACCTCCACCCTTGGTGGTTTTCTTGCAGATGTTTCATTATCAGGCTAGGTAACATCATCAGTGCCTGCAAGAAAACCACCAGAGCCCCACCCTTCCACTCCAAGCCACAAATATTCCCTTCTGTTGGCTTCCAGTTACCGATGGTCTTTGCCCCAAGAAGCGTATTCCATTGGTCCCCACCGTCTGCCCAAACCAATGTGATGATGACCTCTCCTGCTCTTCCGGGATGAAGTGCTGCTTTGACAGGTGTGGCCTGAACTGTGTGCCCCCTGAGAGACACCACCAACACCAGGACCAGGACCAGGACCAGAACCAGGACCAGGACCAGGACCAGAACCAGGATCAGAAGAAAGGTGAGGAAGAACCCCACAAGGCAACCAGGGGGTCATTTGCAGTCCAACAGCTTCTCCAGCTTGTCCATGCTAGGATCTAAGTTCACACATTCACCCTGGGTGGCCACCTTCTTCTCTCCATCTGCTCTCCTGCCTGTCCACACACTCAGCTCTGGGTGAGCACCCTTGTAATTGTGGTGTTGTGGTCATTGGCCATCCTTTCCTTGATCCAGTCCAAGGACAACTGCCAGATGAGTTCCATTGGTCATTGCTTTGGAGAATAGTTTGACACTCCCCCTCCCCTCATCTCTTTAGGAATCCCTCAAATATTGGATGGCTGCTATCCTGTCCCCCCTCATCCTTTTCTTCATTAAACTAGACCAGGGGTAGGCAACCTTGGCTCTTTTTTTTTTTTTTTTTTTTTGTAAAAAAATTTATTTTCAACTTTACAATACATAACAATCTTACAAATACTTCAGATAAAAAAATAAAACAAATTGATACACACCACATTCAGTCTTGTCTGCCCATTTCCCCCCAAACTGCATCCCACCTCAAACCAACTTACTTCTTTCCCTCTTTTTCTTCACTCACCCCCTCTCCTCCTTCACCTCCACCTTCCTACTTACTTTTCACCTTCTTCTTCTCCCTCTTGATGCGGTCCAGGGGAAATGCCCGAGCAGTTCCTCTCTCAAAATTAAAACATTAATATTATATACAATAAGACTATTTCTACTTTATCTGAACTACTTAAACTTCAACCCATCCAGCTCCTTTCTCACATAGATAACTACTCCTCCTTTTTTCTGCAAAGCAGGAGCTATAAAATGTATCCCCAGCTGGGGATTAAACAAATATTTTTGATCTTTAGAAATAATATGAGTCTCTTGTAAACAAATAATATCATTTCTGTGTTGTTTCAAATAATGAAAGATTTTCTTTCTCTTCTGTGGTGAGTTAAGGCCATTAACATTCCAGGTTAGAAGCTTTGCCATCCTTGGCAGGATGAAGCCTTTGGAACAAAGCCTCTAGATTTACAGTCGATGATCTCTTTGGCCTTGCTCCTCCCACCGACTCTGAAATAGACTGTGATAAACTTCCATCATCTGCCTTTTGTTGTTGTTGCTGTTGTTGTTGTCTTTCTCTACATTTATAAGCAGCGCGTGTAATTCTCTGTTCCCTTGGGTCTTCTGTTATTTGAAAATTCTGTTGCATAACTTCAACCAACAATTCTTCTCCCAAAGATGGCATTGAACCTACAGACAACTGCGTTTCTGCCTTGCTCTCATCTTTCTTTGATCTTGGAGATGGTGGTGGACTTGCTTTTAAAATAGTAACATAAAAATCTCTTGCTTTTGAAACTGTATTAAGACGGTATTGTGTACCAGCGTAAGTCACCACTATCCCCACAGGTATGTCCCATCTAAATTGAATTTGTCGCTTCTTAAGTTCTTCAGCCAAAAAAGCAAAGTCTTTTCTTTTTCTAAGAATTTTAGAAGGTATTTCCTTTAAAACTATCACATCCTGAGCTGCAATCTGAAATCTTTGTTTATAGAAGGCCTGTATAATTTCATTACAAAGTGATTTTCTCATAAAATAGACCACCACATCTCTTGGTAATTTCCTCTGTTTTGCAACCCACGAATTAACTCTAAAAATCTTTTCAATATCTTTCAACATTTCTTCGGGATCAATTTTCAAAATAGAGGCCAGTTCTGCTGCAATTTCTTCTCTCAAATTCTCCTTAATATTTTCCTTCAGACCCCTTATTCTCAAAGCATAGTACATTTCTCTGTATTGTGACATTATAATATCATTCTGTGTAGCATCCACATTTTCTTCTATTTTTTCAGCTCTATCTTGTAATATTTCAACATTACTGACCACTTTATCCACCCTGTCGTCAATCTTTTCCACAAGGCCAGCAAGCCCTTGGAGTGCCAAAACAATATCTTTCCTGAGCTCATTACTTTCTTGAGCCAGAAGCTCTGCTGTTTTTTCTAGTGATTTTTCCAAAGTCTTATCTAAAGCATCTTGTAAATCCTGAAGTGTAAGTGCCTGAGGTGGGGGCGAAGGTGGAGAAGGTTTAAGTTTGGGTTGTTGTACAGTCTGAGTTACTGGAGAGGCAGTTGAAGTTTTAGAAAGAGAAGGAAGTCCAGGACGTTTTGAAGCCATTTTTTAAAAAAGGGAGGGGTTTTCCCCCCCCTTCCCTTTTCCAAAAAATAGTAATATAAGAACAAAGGAGAAGAAAAAGCAATTCCCCCTTAAAAAAAGGGAATAAGAATTTTTCCCCCTTTAAAATGAACCAAGTCTATTACATTGTTAAAACTTTGTTGCCAGTTTAAAGATAGTAAGTAAAAAATAGAAAGTGAAAGGTCTCAAACAAAGAAAGTGACAAAGAAGGAGGATTCCTCCGCCATATTTCTTCACTCCAATTAGAATAGTAACAGGAGTAGATGTTAATTCAAATGAGTTAGGTTTAAAGTAAAATCATCAATTCTTCTCTTCCTGACCACTCTGTCTGCTTTTGAGTTAACTTACTGTTCCCATCAGATAGCAGCAGTGGAGGCAGCGTCTAGCTTCGTTCTCTTCGGAGAACAAAGGCATCCAAGGAAACGGAGCAACACCCAGACTCCGAGGGAGCTCTCACTTCATCTCCCAGAAAAAAAAACTGGGAAAGTTGTGAGGCTCTACCTCTATCCAGGCAGAAGCTCACCTCCCTCCCTTCGCCCGGGAGGGAAGTTTCAAGCCACAAACAGCTGATCGTCACTGTTTTGCCAGCTTTTACGATTTCCCAGGATGGGCAGCTGTCAAACAGCGGCCATCGGCACCGGCGCAGCCACCGGAAGGCGCCGGTTCACTCAACCTTGGCTCTTTTATGACTCATGGACTTCAACTCCCAGAATTCTGGGAGCTACGACTCATAAAAGAGCCAAGGTTGCCTACCCCTGAACTAGACATACCCAATTCCAGCAGCGGTTCTTCATATGTTTTAGCCGTCAGTCCCCTGATCATCTCTGTTGCTCTTCTCTGCACAGGAGACAAGAAGGGTTCCCAGGAGTCCAAGGGGATGAACTGCCACACAGACCGAGATTGTCCGCAACGGAAGAAGTGCTGCAATGGATTCTGCCAGCGGGAATGTCGTCCACAAGGTAGGTCCCGGCTGATGCAGGGTAGGAGAGCGCCAAGGGGGGGCTGGAAGACCAGAAGGGACAACTCACTGCAGCCAACTCAACATGGTGAACTTCATAACTTATAAGAACTGCTTTATAAAGCCTTAGTAAGACCTCACTTAGAACCCTGAATCCAGTTTTAGTCACCACATCACAAAAAAGATGTTGAGAGTTTGGAAAAAATTCAGAGAAGAGCAACTAAGATGATCCAAGGCCTGGAGACTAAAACATAGGAAGAACGGCTGCAGGACTTGGCTGCAGGGTTTGACTAGTCTACAGAAAAGAAGAAATAGGGGTGACATAATAGCAGTATTCTAGTATTTGAGGAGCTGCCACAAAGAAGAGAAGGGGGGGTTCACGTTATTCTCCAAAGCACCAGAGGGCAGGACAAGAAACAACGGTTGGAAGCTAATCAAGGAGAGAAGCAATCTGGAATTAAGGAGAAACTTCCTGACAGGGAGGATAATAAACCAGGGGAACAGCTGGCTTTCAGAAACCATGGAGATTTTTAAGAAGAGACTGGACAGCCACTTGTCTCAAATTGTACAGGGTCTCCGGCTTCAGCGTGGGGGTTAGACTAGATGACCTCCAGTGTCCCTTCCAGCTCTATTCTGATTGGACTGGTTAACTCACCACGGCCAATTTGCCCCGGTTAACTCACCATGGGTCACCTCGTTATGGGGCAATTCAACGAGTCAGTTTAATTATTTAAAATAGTTTAAAAAATGTTTTAATTTTTGTCATTTAAATTTTATTGCGTCCCTCCTTTGGCATCCTTTTTTCAGTGATTCTGTTCCACTGTTTCTTCGATATGAGTGTAAGTCTTGTCCAGTGGAGAGTTGAGCGTGGCCAGGTGTTAGGACCACTGGTGCCTCCGCCCTCCCCAGAAGGCAGACCCTGCCCCTCCCCTGCTTGAGCGGCTGTTTGCAAAAGCTGCCTCTAAACATCAACAGGTGTCAAGTTCTCCCTGTGTGCAAATGCGCCCCCATGTGGTGTGACGAAGGATAACAGTGTTGGGGGAAAATGTCTGCGGAGACTTTGAGTCAATCTTTAACTCTGAACAGACCCCCCAAACACAGACAGGGCTGGGGGGACCCCCCGTGCTCCTCCACAGCAGAGCTCTGGAAGTGCCAGCCATTTTGCACCCAGGATCCGCCACTCACTCCTGGCGTGCTGGACACAAAAAAGGGCCAGAGTAAAAGAGAGCAAGAAAGGCATTTCAGCATGATCAGCCAAGCAGGGGCTGGGAGAGGGAAGAATTTTATTTATTTATTTATTTATGAGACTTATATACCGCTTTAAGTGCAAGCACTCTCTAAGCGGTGCATACCAGTAAGCAATGTATATATATATTTACATTGCCCCCAACAATCTGGGTCCTCCTTTTACCTACCCCGGAAGGATGGAAGGCTGAGTCAACCTTGAGCCGGTGAGATTTGAACCGCTGACCTGCTGAACACAGTCAGCTAAAGTGGCCTGCAATCCTGCACTCTAACTGCTGCGCCACCTTGGCTCAACCTCGCCACCTCACTCCAACGTCCAATCTGAGCTGACCAAAATGTGCAAGAAGCAAGATAAAAATACCCACGGTTCCCGAGCTGGCCGAGATGAAGCTGGAAGGCAGCAGATCTGAAAAAGCTGCCCGCCAGGCTTCTCCTGGGCTTCTGAAAGCAAAGACAGAGGTGCCCGCGGCCACCAACTGGCAAAAGGGCATCCCAGGGTGGGTGAGTGACGGATCCGTCCCACAATCGCTGAGTTCTCCTGCCCCCCCCCTGTGCCCACTTGAGAAATTGGGCATCCAGGTGCAAGCTTTTAAGTCTTGGCCATCCCCTCTCTTTCTCAGATATCTGCCATCTGCCCTCAGACACAGGGCCCTGCAGGGCGCTTATACGTCGCTGGTTCTACGACAAGCACTCTGGGAGGTGCAGAGAGTTCATCTACGGAGGCTGCCAGGGGAATGCAAACAATTTCGAGGATGTTGAAGAATGCGAGCGCCGATGTGGCCCTCCAGGTGAGACCAAGTCAGAGGAGGGTCTGAGGGAGGAGGGAGGAGCCTTGGCTGTGGGCCAGATGGCCTCGGTCTAGCGAGGCTATCTTGGGGAAGGAAGGAAGGAAGGAAGGAAGGAAGGAAGGAAGGAAGGAAGGAGGAAGGAAGGGAGGAAAGAAAGAAAGAAAGAAATAGAAAGGAAGGAAGGAAGGAAGGAAGGAAGGAAGGAAGAAAGAAAGAAAGAAAGAAAGAAAGAAAGAAAGAAAGAAAGAAAGAAAGAAAGAGGGAGAGGGGAGGGAAGAGGGAAGAGGGAGGGAAGGGAGGGAGGAAGAAAGAAATAAAAAGAAAAAAGAAAGAAAGAATGAAAGGAGAAAGAAAGGAAAGAAAGAAAGAAAGAAAGAAAGAAAGAAAGAAAGAAAGAAAGAGGGAGGGAGGGAGGGAGGGAGGGAAGGGAGGAAGAAAGAAAGAAAGAAAGAAAGAGGGAAGGGAGGAAGAAAGAAAGAAAGAAAGAAAGAAAAAGAAAGAAAGAAAGAAAGAAAGAAAGAAAGAAAGAAAGAAAGAAAGAAAGAAAGAAAGAAAGAAAGAAAGGAAGGGAGAGGGAGAGAGGGAGGCAGGGAGGGAGGGAGGGAGGGAAAGGGTTGAGAAAGAAGAAATGGTGAAGGAAAAAGAGGAAAAGAATGCTTGGTCTGTCGTAGACTTCAATTCAGGAGATGATACTTCAAACTGAGAGGGACAGATGGACAAGTCCAGTGGTCAGGAGAGGAGGGAGGGAGGCGTGGAGTGGACCTCCTTCCATTTTTCTAACTCATTTTGAGTTTATTTATTCAATTCTCTATCTAGCGATAGAATTCTACTTAGCGTCTATCTATGAGAATATATTAAATTTTTTTCCTGGAAAAAATCTAACAAAAGCTTTTTGAGTGAGCCTACTAATAGAGGCCCTGCTGAATTCATGGATGGTTTTCAATGAGGACAGAACGGCTCCCACTTTATTGATACGAATCTCATCTTCTCTCCCCCTCCCTCCTCAAAATCTTGCAGATAACAAGCCTGGCACATGCCCCATCGTAGTTCAAGGCGAGGAGGTTGTTTGCGGCAAAGTGTGCTCCAGCGATGCCAGCTGCCCAGGCCCTCAGCGCTGCTGCCCCACTTCCTGTGGGAAGAAATGTGAAATCCCGCAACAACGTCAGTCTGGTTCCTGGATGGGGAAGGGAGTTGGGGGGGGGCAGTCAGGAACAGAGAGGAGAGGGTGCCTGCTGAGCCTGGTACCAAGGAACGCAGAGCCGTGCCTGTTTTTTTGCCCGCCATGAAACACCACTGGAGCCCAGAGAGAAGCCGTTCAGTGGCGGTTCATCCTCCGAGGCCAGCAAGACTTGATCTTTCCAAGGAAGCTTTGCAGACAGAGCTCAGCCCAGCTCGAGGGAGCCTTCCCAGAGGCTGGAGGAGGGGAGAAGGGGGCACGCAAGAGGAAGGCTGTTTGGTGCCAGCCTGCACTGAGATGGCCTTCGTTGGGTAGATCAACACGACCAAAGGCTTCTTTGCCAGCGGAGCACTTGGTGGGCACCAGAGAGGGATGGGGGGTTTTCCCTGCAGGGCCAAACCTGATGCCCCCTGAGCAGAGAAGGCTTTTCAGGGCTGCCCAGATGCATGCCATGTAGCAAAGGTCCTCCAACTCTTTGGCGGGTATAAATGAGGCTGGTGGGCTTTTGTTGTGGGGCTTGTTTGCAAAATAACCCTCCTACTTACTGCCACAGATGCCCTCTGCCAGGTGGAGGAAGGTCCTGAAACATTTGGAGCCGGCCTCTTCTTCCCCTAGGGCAGGGGGCCCCGACCCTCAACCCCCGGCCCACTGGAGGACCTTGAGCCGTTTGGAAGCTGGCCGTGGAAGTGATGGGCAGGCGTGTTTGCCTGCTGCACACGCGGAACCATCCTCTCTGCCCCCCCAAGCCAGTCTGTAAAGCTGAAAATGTTGGGGAGCTCTGTAGTAAGCTCTGTGAACCCCCTCTCTGAAAGCCCTCTTCTCTCCCGTGTCCCCTTCTTCTGTCTAGATCTCCCAGGATACTGTCCACTGCTGATTCTCCCACCCAGAAGGGGCGACGTTTGCTTCCCAAACTGCACCAGTGACTGGGACTGCAACCGCATGGTGAATCTTCCTTTGAAGAAGTGCTGCAGCTTTGCGGGCAGGCAGATATGCGTGCATGGCGTGGAAGGTGCCACTCTTCCTTCCTTCCTTTTCTTTCTTTCTTTCTTTCTTTCTTTCTTTCTTTCTTTCTTTCTTTCTTTCTTTCTTTCTTTCTTTCTTTCTTTTCTTGATGAAGATGTTGAAGAGCACTGGGCCCAGAACAGAGTCCTGGGGCACCCCACTACATGTACAAGACCTGTGTCCTAAAAAGTGTGCACCAAATGTGAACCCAAAAAGGTTCCTGCACAAGCTTAACATTAACCAAGCAGAGCACAGAGATGGATTGTATCTGCCTGGCCTTTCCCCATCCTGCCATGGTTCACACTGTGCATCCTCCCAGGGTCTCGGTCCTTCTCACACACCAAGGATTTAGGACAGAGCCCTGGAATTCCTTGCTGGCATACTTCAGGATAGGGCCCTGCACTGGGGTATGGGTGGGAGGAGGGTCTGGCCTGGCCTGACAGCAGTGGAGAAAGGGCAAGACTGCACCAGAGAGAGAGATGTCTCTGCCATCCAATCCCAGGCACTGAGTAACTGCTTCTCCTCCCTGCCTGTGGTGGAATGTAGTCTGGATTCCCAGAAGGGAGGGGCTGCGTTAGAGAGAGCAAAGAGAAAGGACAATTTAGATAGTTTGGTCATGAGGAAGAGACGTAACATGGCTCCTCCCTAGAGATTCTCAGACTATTATCTGTAATATGCAAGTAGTTGCTTTATCTGGCAAGATTCCGTCTCTAGGTGAGGAACAGTAAAGGAAACTGCTCAGAAATAACTCTACATATCCTGACTGGTTCTTGGGGCCTGACAATCCCTCTCATTCTAGAACACCCCGGCGTGTGTCTATAATATGCAAGTAGTTGCTTTAGTCTGGCAAGATTCTGTCTGTAGGTGCAGAATATGAAAGGAAACTGCTCAGAAGTAACTTTATGTGTCTTGATTCGTTCTTGGGGCCTGACAATCCGTCTCATTCTAGAACACCCCGGTGTGTGTCCCAGGAGGGTCGAATTGCAGACCTTGCTTCCATGCAACAACACTTGCAGGGATGACCTGGACTGCTCCCTGACCGAGAAGTGCTGCTTCACCGGTTGCGGCCGAGGCTGCCTGCCCTCACGTATGTCCAGGCCTCCTTCTCCCACTTGCCCCCTTCCCCCCTCTGTCCTCCACCTAAGCTCCAGGCAGCGGGGAGAGCCCACACAAACTCCCCTTTCTCACTCTCTTGCAGTCCGCAGTGAGGTATGCCAGTTACCTCTCGAACAGGGCAGCTGCAAACAACAGTTGCAGCGCTACTTCTATGATCCAGACAAGAAGAAATGTGTCTCTTACCGTGTCTGCGAGGCCAGCCGCAGAAACTTTGAGACCAGGGAGCTGTGTGAAAAGGCCTGTGGGAAAATCAGCAAAGGTACAGAGGATCAGTGTTGCATTGAGGCCCCTGGTAAAGTCAGTCCAGAAAGACATTACTCCCCCCCCCCCCAAGTGAGTTATGTCAAACAAGAAGCATCTTCCAAGCTTCTAGCTCTATTGGAAACTGTCTTTATTAGAGGTTAACTTTATTAGGGACACTTCTTGCAAAAATGTAAGTACAGTACATCTCTCCCCCTCATTTTTGTAGCCCAAGAAACTAGGGAGGGTCCTTCCTGAGACATTTCCCAGGCCCCAATTCCTCTGGTGGACTCAGCTGCCTCTTCTCTGACTATTGCCTCATCTGCAGTTTTTCCTCCTGTCCCCCAAGGCTGTTCCCACAGACCATTACAGTTGCCACAATTCCTGGAACCCTTTCTGAGGCCACTTTTCCACATGACCCGTTCAGTCCCAACACAACATCAAATCTTAGACCTTTGGGTCCACCTAAGGCATTCAAGAAAAGGTGGCCCAACCCACTTCCTGGAAGGAAAATATTCTTTCGCTGTCCATCTCACTGCCCTCTTTCCCTCTCTTCTGATCTCCCTCCCTCCTTGCAGAGGTTTGCAAACTGCCAAAAGACGCGGGTCGTTGTCGAGGATATTCACCACAGTATTACTTCAACTGGGAGACCAAACGTTGTGAAATATTTGTTTACGGATTGTGTGGTAGCAACGACAATCGCTTCTCCAGCAAACTGGAGTGCCAAATGGTCTGTGGTGAATTTGGTAAGGAACAAGAATGAATGTGACCTTGTTTATACGCAAATGTGTTGTGTTTGTGGAACACACCTCTACCCTAACCCTAATGACAGTCCAGTCATTAATAAGTTCTCCAAAGAGGGTCACCTACATTGTCCTCCAGTTCAGGAGTGAGCCATTCTCACAATCCTAAGATTGTGTTTCCAACTTCCAATGGTCTCCTGTTGGATAAAAATGCGGTCATTGTGTTCACATGGATGAGTACAATAGTGGGGAGATGGTTCTGCCCACTGTCACTCTTAGACCTTTCCCCATTTTGCACAAGTGAAGTGACACAACATCCAAATGACGGTGAGGGTGGAGACATCCTAAATCAACCCACTCAATAGATGATAAGATGAGATGAGATGAGATGAGATGAGATAGCCTTTATTGTCATTTTTTTACTGTAGGCACAATGGCACACATCAAAAATGAAATTTAGTTGCCTGCTCTCAAAGTGAAACACATACATGACACACACCTAAAACATACTATATACAACATATGTATAGACCCACACCCCTTCATATACATAACAAATAAATATTAAATACTGTCCATCTTGAATATATAATGGAAGGAGGAAGCTTGAGAGTTCACAAGGTTAATGCTGTATGGAATAAAACTATGGCTGAATCTGGATGTTCTGCTGTGGATATCACGAAGCCCCCTCCTCCCGGAAGGGAACAAGGAAAACAGGTCGTGGAGAGGCTGTGTAGTGTCCCAGATAATCTTACAGACCCTGCTCAAGCAACACTTCTGTGCTATGTCCTGGAAGGGAGGAAGGGAACTGCCAATGATCTTTTCGGCCATCCTCACCACTCTCTGCACCGCCTTCCTGTCTGAAGCAGGGATGCTTCCAAACCAGACTGTGATGCTGTATGACAGGATGCTCTCAGTCGTCCCTCTGTAGAAAGTGGTGAGGACAGGGGAAGGAAGATGTGCTTTTCTCATGCAACGCAGAAAATGCAGGCGCTGCTGTGCCCGCTTCACCAGCATCTTGCTGTTGAGCGATCAAGCCAGCCTACTCGTTAGCTGCACACCCAGGAATTTGATGCTGGTAACCATCTCCACAGGTGAATCATTAATGCACAGAGAAGTGTGGCTCTGCCTGCCTTTTCTGAAATCAACAATGATCTCTTTGGTTTAATTGGTCTGTTTGTCAGCAAAACCAGGATAAACTGCATGAACTGCAGGGACGTCTCTGCCCAGGAAGGTCCAGTGGGCAGTCCTTGGCTGGGGAGGGTGGGGAGGAGAAGAAAGCAGAAGGACCCACTCAGGACTTCCAGTAGTCTCACATGTCTCTAGGACACAGCTTGTGAGTTGGTGGTTGACAAAATAGATCCACTACACCACCCTGGCAAGTGATCCAGGCAGAAGCTGCTATCCACGATAAGGCTAAGCCCCCTCTGCTCTACTCTGCTTATCCAGGAGCAGAAGCCCTTTGCCCACCCACCACTCCCCTCTTCTCTTCACAGAACAACAGCAGCAGCAGCAGCAACAACAACAAAAACAACGCCCCAAAGAATGAGTCCCTTCACAACATCCCTGCGTGGAAGCACCACCTTGGGAGCAGATGCCTCCACCGTGGCTGCCACGGCCACTGCCCCAGCTGCATTCCTGTTTGATCTTCCTGTCTTCTCAAGAATAAAGACATGACTTTCCCTGCATACTCTGAGTGTGGTTCTTGAGTGGGAGATGGTTTGGACTTTGTGGGAAGCAAAGCAAGGACCCTGTGGTTGTCCAGGAGACTTGAGGGACCGTCTCATCCCAATGGGATTAGCCCACCCCACTCAAGCCGGCAAAGGAGGCATGCTCTGCGCTTCATCAGCCAGAGTATTCCAGCTGGGGGGAGGGTCCAGGAGAGGAGCCTTCTCTGCTGTTGCATCTGCCCTCTGGAACATTTTGCCCCCCTCCCTGAGTGAGGTAGACTCCAGCCCTCCTGAAATTTCATCAGAATCTAAAGAACTGGCTCTGCCAGTTTATTTATTTTATTTTATTTTATTTATTTCTAAAATTTATATGCCGCCCAATCCCAAGGGACTCAGGGTGGCGAACAAAATTAAAACAATAATCTGAAAATAAAACAATAAAATAAATACATTCATACAGCGTGTCCGATCATATCCACCCCCCCCCGGGGACATCAGCCCCAGGCCTGCCGGAACAGGAGAGTTTTAATGGCTTTCCTAAAGGCCGGCAGGGTGGGAGTAGTTCGAACCTCGGGGGGGAAGTTGATTCCACCAGGTCGGAGCCACCACAGAAAAGGCCCTTCCCCGAGGGCCCGCCAGCCGACATTGTCTGGCCGACGGGACCTGAAGGAGGCCCAATCTGTGGGACCTCACCGGTCTCTGGGAACTATGCGGCAGTATGCAGTCCTGTAAGTAACCTGGTCCTAAGCCATGAAGGGCTTTAAAGGTGATAACCAACACCTTGAATTGCGTCCGGAGACCCACAGGAAGCCAATGCAGTTTGGGGAGGATAGGTGACATGTGGGCGTACCTTGGCGTGCCCACAATCGCTCTCGCAGCTGCATTCTGAACCAACTGCAGCCTCCAAACGCTCTTCAAGGGTAGCCCCATGTAGAGCGCATTACAGTAATCCAGTCTCGAGGTGACAAGGGCATGAGTAACCATGAGTAGAGCCTCCTGGTCCAAATAAGGCCGCAACTGGTGCACCAGGCGAACCTGGGCAAAGGTCCCCCTGGCCACAGCCGATAGATGTTGTTCCAAATTTAGCTGCGAGTCCAGGAGGACACCCAAGTTGCGTGTCTGCACTGAGGGAGGTAAATTTGCCCCCCCCCCCCAGGACTAATGATGGACCATCCAGTTGACCTTTGGGAGGCAAGACCCAGAGCCACTCGGTCTTGTCAGGGTTGAGTCTAAGCCTGTTCACCCCAATCCAGACCCTCACATCTTCCAGGCACCGGCACATCACGTCAACTGCTTCACTGAAAGGACACGGGGTGGAGATATACAATTGGGTATCATCCGCGTACTGATGATACCTCACCCCGTGTCGCCAAATGATCTCACCCAGCGGTTTCATGTAGATGTTAAAAAGGAGGGGGGACAGGACCGAGTCCTGAGGCACCCCATGATCGAGGCGCCTAGGGGTCGATCTCTGTCTGCCCGCCAACACCGACTGCGACCTGTCAGAGAGGTAGGAGGAGAACCACAGCAATACGGTGCCGCCCACCCCCACCTCTCCGAGATGACTCAGAAGGATACCATGGTCGATGGTATCGAAAGCCGCTGAGAGGTCAAGAAGCACCAAGATAGAGGAATGACCCCTATCCCGGGCTCGCCAGAGGTCATCAGTCAGTGCGACCAAAGCAGTCTCAGTGCTGTAGCCGGGCCTGAAACCAGATTGAAAAGGGTCCAGATAATTAGTTTCATCCAAGGATCGCAAGAGTTGGGACACCACCACCTTCTCTACAACCTTCCCCACAAAGGGGAGATTGGAGACGGGACGAAAGTTCTTCAAAACAGCTGGGTCCAGGGAAGGCTTATTGAGGAGGGGCCTCACCACCGCTTCCTTTAAAGGTTGCGGGAAAGACCCCTCCATCAAGGAGGCGTTGATTATCGCCTGGAGCCAGCCTCGTGTCACCTCCCTACTGGCAGAAACCAGCCAGGAGGGGCACGGGTCCAATAAACAGGTGGCGGCATTCATTGCCTTCACGGCCTTGTCCACTTCATCAGGGGTCACAGGCTCAAACTCGCTCCAGATAACATGACTAAGACCAGCCCCTGGCAACTCGGCTGGCACTGCCCAGTCGGAGTCCAGGTCTCTCTGAATCTGAGCGATTTTGTCCGACAGAAACTGAACAAACTCCTCAGCTCTCCCCTGCAAGGGTTCCTCCGCCTCCTCCACTTTAAGAAGGGAGCGGGTCACCCTAAACAAGGCGGCCGGGCGAGATTCTGCGGATGCAATAAGTGCGGAAAAGTGAACACGCTTTGCCGCCCTTATCGCCACTAGATAAGTCCTAAGATAGGCTCTTAATAGTGATCGGTCAGATTCAGAGTTACTGGCCCTCCAACGTTGCTCTAGACGTCTCTTGTGGCGCTTCATCTCCCGGGGCTCCTCAGTTAACCTGGGCTACAAAGGGTGGGGGGGGTGGGTACATGGGAGGGGAAGATTGATAGAGTAAGAACATACCCCATACCCCACCCCCTCAAGCCTCTCCCACCCACCCTCTCTTTTAATTGGGGTGTAGCATTTGGATCTTCACAATATTTTATTTATGTCCTTTAGGGTTTTTTTAAGGTTGTAAGCAACCCAGAGGGATAAGATGGGCAATTTTACAAACCAGTAAGCAAATCAGGACCTCCGGGGTTGTTGCCTGGAGCCAGTCTGTGGGGGATCCATGTCTCTGTCTATATTTGCCATGTAAACACAATAAAATAAGCATCCCTAACTATAAACATTGCTCCAGCAAGACAGTTTCCCTCTGCTTAATTCTTCGTCCTTCTGGGGAACTCTGGAGCAGGACTTTTTGACGCTGGCTGGTTCACACCATGGAATTTCAAAGAAAGAAGCAGAATAGCAGAACAGCAGAGTTGGAAGGGACCTTGGAGGTCATCTAGTCCAACCCCCTGCTCAAGCAGGAGACCCTAGACCATTTCAGACAAACGGTTGTCCAATCTCTTCTTAAAAACTTCCAGTGTCGGAGCACCCACAGCTTCTGGAGGGAAGCCCTTCCACTGATTAATACACTGTCAGGAAATATCTCCTTAGTTCAAGGTTGCTTCTCTCTGTGGTTAGTTTCCACCCATTGCTTCTTGTCCTGCCTTCAGGTGCATAAGGAAAGTATTCTACAAGCCACCGTGTATCAGTGGCAAGCCCCATTTATACTGAATTTTATACTGAATTTTCACCTCTTTCTGCCACTTGCCAATATGATGGATTATGATGCATACTGGCCAAAGAGAACCCTTCTCTTCAAGCTGAAGAACGGTCCTTTCAGTCCTAGCGCCTCATCCGTGACAATGTGCAGATAGCCAAGAGGTTGGAGATGGTCCAGCAGCACCACTTCTTACCTAGATCCAATTTTGACCAAGAAGACAATGAATCTGAGGCAGACTTTCCCTCAGCTGACACAGCTCCACCAGATCCATGGAGCGCAACAAGGTGGGGTAGATTCCTCCCCAGGTTGTGACACAAACTGAGCTATTTGCGTATTTACATCTGACATCAGGAAACTAACATGGAAGCCAAGATTTGTGTTGCTATCTTGGAATGCAAATTTATTATGATTCACAGCCGTGTTTTTCAACTCTGGCAACTTTAAGGTACTGGCTGAGGAATTCTGGGAATTGAAGTCCACTCATGTTAAAACTGCTAAGGTTGAGAAACTCTGGGTTTAAGAAGAAGGTCGTGGAAAGGGGCACCAGGGTGGGAGTGAAACTGGACTGGCATCTAACATGCCTTTTATAACATCCTCAGAAAAATGCAAGGGAGCAAAAGTATTTCTTTTTCAAATGTTCTTTTTAGATCTTTTCTCAGGTACAAATACCATCTAAAGTTTAAAAAAAATCTAAGGAGAAGCAAACATTTCTCAATCACACATAACAATGTTGGAAAAACCAAAGAGATCGTTGTTGATTTCAGAAAAGGCAGGCACACCACACTCCTCTGTGTATTAATGATTCACCTGTGGAGGTGGTTAGCAGCATCAACTTTCTGGGTGTGCATCTAATGAATAGACTGGCCTGGTCGCTCAACAGTGAGACTGGTGAAGCGGGCACAGCAGAGCCTGTATTTTCTGAGTCGCATGAGAAAAATACATCTTCCTTCCCCCGTTCTTACCACTTTTTACAGAGGAATGATCGAGAGCATCCTGTCATACAGCATCTCTGTCTGGTTTGGAAGCATCCCTGCTTCAGACAGGAAGGCGGTGCAGAGAGTGGTGAGGACAGCAGAAAAGATTATTGTCAGCTCACGTCCTTCTATCCAGGACATGGCATATAAGCAACGCTTGATCTGGATCCACAGGATTGTCTGGGACACTACACATCCTCTTCATGACCTGTTTTCCTTATTACCTTCTGGGAGGGGGCTTTGTGGTATCCAAAGCAGAACATCCAGATTCAGTCACAGTTTTGTTCCATGTAGCCTCAATCTTGTGAACTTTCAAGCTTCCTCTTTCCATTATGTATTCAAGATGGACAGTGATTAATATTTATATATATTTACATGTAAGGATGTAGGTATATACATATGTTGTATATAGAATGTTTATATATGTACGTGTACACTTTTGAGAGCAGGCAACAGAATTTCCTTTTTAATGTGTGCCAGAGTGTCCACAGTAAAAACAAAAAAAAAAAGACGAGAAAGGTTATCTTATCATAAGACAAAAGGAGAAATTGCCTTAGCAGAATATCTCCCATTGACCGTGGAAAATACCATGGAGTGTTATATCCGATTCCTCCCGTCTGGTACTTCCTGACACCCATAATTCCCAGCCAGCATGAAGTTGTGGCTGAGAACATTATGGCACCAAGACCCTGCAGAGACCAAGTGGGGTCCCACCTTGGGTAGGAAAATGAAGAAGAAAGGAGTCCTTCACCTCTTGCTTAGGCTTGGTTGAAGGAGCTTGGTGGCCTTCTCGGTGGGTCTTCATATAGAACAAGAAGCTCCCAGATCTCCCCTCCAGTGAGTCCTTGCCTACCTTCTGCCTGCTCTTCCTCTTTTTGAGGTCCATATGTCCATGAGGGAACAGAGAGAGGTTCATATCGTGCCCTGCCCCAAAGCAGAAGCTCCTACCACTTTGCTTTTGAATTTGGAGAACATATGAATTCTTCTATGATATGGTGGAAAAACTAAAGAAGAAGGGAGGCAGTTAATAGGAATGCCAGCATGGCGTCATTCCATGGGAGGAAAGGTCATAGTCCAGACTAGTAAAGCCTTATCTACCAGATCTTATAGGAATGCAGCCAGTATGGAGAGATTCTTGTAACATCAGCAATAAAGAAATTGTCCAGGTCTCTTGAACCAGGCTAATCTGTTTCAGAGGGAGCCAGTTCAGTGGGTTCACCCCAGCCCCAACCTCTTGTTGCATTGTTCTAGCCTGGTCATTGCCAAATGCACACTGGGTGGAGTTAAATGTACTTCCTCTGGGTGGAGATTTCCTTGTGGAAACTGCCTCCAGCTCTGGCACTGCTTTCTCGGCTTGGCTCTCCTGCCTTGAGGAAACACCTCATTGGAGAAGTCCCACAAACCTTGGTTAAACTGCCACCATCCCTCAGCACCTTTTATATGCTCCCTCTGCCTGGACAGAGAGACTTCCTTCCTCCTGAGAGACCATGTGGGCCAGGCTCCTTCTCGTTGGGGTGCTCCTCTCCTTCTCTGCTGACCTCCATGCAGCTGGTGGAGGGGATGGTGCTCAAAAGAGCCAGACTCCTGTGAACAGTGAGTAGACCCTCACCAACCCCTGGTGGGAAATGGATCTGAGAAACTGGTTTGGCTGGGCTGGGACTCCTTTCTCCTCTGGGGTGGGTTTCAGGCAACACCTCCCATTCCCTTACTTCTCCTCCACAATAACCTGGGAATCTGTTGCTCCTTAAGCAGTCCAGACAGCTCCTCTGGGGCAGATGCAACATAGGTGCAACTGTCTTCATCCAAAGCTTGCTCCACTTCAGGAACTGTGGAGTAGTATTAGAGGGGCACAAGGCAACACCTCCCACTCCCTTAAAACTCCATCTCAATAACCTGGGAATCCATAGCTCCTTAAGCAGTCCAGAAGACACCTTTTGGGCAGAAGCAGCCCAGGTGACCAATGCTTGCTCCACGTCTGTGGAAGAACTGTCCTCCTTCAGGAGACAGATAATGAGTTGGAAGGGACCTTGGAGGTCTTCTAGTCTAATCACCTGCTCAAGCAGGAGACCCTACAGACTGATGCTTCCAGAGGACCATGGTTCCTGGAACAAGTGAGAATTTAGATGGTTGACAGCACAACAGAAGTAAGGTCCCTGTTGGATCAGACCAACAGCCCATTCAGTCCAGCTGTCAAGTCCCAGAGAACCCTCTGAATGTATCTCAGATTAGGATTAAGAAACCTGCTGTCCCCAACATTAGATAGTCTGCATGATCAACAGCTACTAATGATCAATGCAATGTTATCTTCCAGGGGTTTTCTTTTGTCACATCAATGTTGACAGCCGTCTCCACATCTTGTAAAAGAGAAGTCTTTAGCATAAGGGGCCCATACAAAGAGGTGTCCTTCACCATTGGGTCCCAACCATGCCTTTATGGGGTGCCAAGTTCTGCTCCTTCAGTTCCTCAACTGGAGGAGGCACTCGCAGAGCAAAGGGTCTGAGACAATGAGAGATGCTTGTTGATGGAGGGAATGAAAATATGGGCAGCGTGGATACACACACGAATACACACCTGTTCCAATGGTGCCACTGGTTCTCCAAAGGACCCACCCTCACCAGGCTCACCTTGGGGAAGAGAAATAGATTGTAGGTAGAGAAACACTGCAGTAGATATGATAGGAGGGACTCCTATTCAGCAACTTAGGTCTTTCACCACCCGTTTTCTGCTTTCCAGCCAATGTAGATACCAGCTAGTTGCCAGTTAGATGGCTCCTAGGCTTCTGAGAGTCATGTTCTCCCCAAGACAGAGCTGTGTGCAGCCAACAACCACAAAAAGGGCATCACAGGGTGGGTGACAGATCTGTTCCACAATTGCTGTGTCCTCCTAGCCGTGCCCACTTGAGAGGTTTGGCATCCAGTGCCAACCCTTCATGCTTGGCCTTCTTCTCTGTTCCTCAGGTACCTGCCAGCTCCCTGCAGATAAAGGTCCCTGTGACAAGTTAGAACTTCGTTGGTTCTACAACTCAGAGTCCAAGAGGTGTGAACGTTTCTTGTATGGAGGCTGCTATGGGAATGCCAACAATTTCAAGGACATCAATGAATGTGACCGCCGTTGCGTCTCCCCAGGTGAGTCCCAGTCAGAGGAAAGAGGAACATTGGCTGTAGGCCAGGTGGCCTTTGTCCAGCAAAGCTATCTTGGGAGAAGGAAGGAAAGGAGGAAGGAAGGAAGGAAGGAAGGAAGGAGGGAGGGAGGGAGGGAGGGAGGGAGGAAGGAAGGAAGGAAGGAAGGAAGGAAGGAAGGAAGGAAGGAAGGAAGGAAGGAAGGAAATGGGTTGAGAAAGAAGAAACGGTGAAGGAAAAAGAGGAAGAGAATGTTGTCCCTCACAATGCTATCAAAGCTATGGACTGTCGTAGATTTCAATTCATGAGATGGACAGATGGGCAAGTGCAGTGCTCAGGAGAGGACAGAGGGAAGGACGGAGTGAACCAGCAGTAGTTCCTTTTCCTCTTTTGATACACAATGAGGTTGGTTAGGGTTAGGGTTAGGGTTACGGTTAGGGTTAAGGTTAGCAGTTCTTGCCCAGTTATCTGGGAATAGTTTACCTCTGTTGCCCTCAAGGAAGTGGACAGGATCCTAGGGACTCCTGTGTTTTGTAACCATGTCTCTCCTGGCTTGTGAAATGTTCCCAAGAGGAGACATGTGGATGGGTTCTGGAGTGATTGATGCTTCCCCATGGGGGGAGGGTTAGTCCTCCAGCCTATGAAGGAAGCTTTCGTCTGCCCTCTTTTTGAGAGGCCATTGGCAGACTCCATCTTGTTAGATAATTTTCATCCTATCTCCGATCCTCTTTTCTCTGGTGAAGGCTGTTGTGTTGCAGCTCCAGAGGTTCCTGAATAAAATGGATTATCTAGATCCTTTCCACAGGGACCAGACCTAGATGTGGGATGAAAATGGCACGAGGGCCCCTTTTTAATGATCTCTGGCAAGAGTGGGACAGGGGTAATGTGTCCACCTTCCCTCTACTTGACCTCTTGGTGGCCTTCAAAACCACCATCCATGGTATCCTTCTGGAGCAGCTTCCGGGGTTAGAAGTGGGCGGGCCTCTGTGTTGCCCTGGTTCACTTCTTTTCTCTGTGGTCACTCTCGGTTGATCTTGATATGAAGCGAGAGGTCCAGTCCTCGTCCACTGCTTTGTGGGGTCCTGCGGGGCTCAGCACTGTCTCTGTGTCTGTTCCCCGCTAAATAAATTTACCTCTGCATGCATGCAGGTTCAGCCCCTTTTGAAACCGTTTCCCCGTCTTCTTCCCTCTCTCATCCAAACTGGCTGTGGTCTTACAGTTATCAATGTTTCCTCTCAGCTATATTTTGTCCTTCAAAACCACAACAACCTCAGGAATTTAGCAGTACATCCTTCTTGCTGTTGGCATTAAACTTCTGGCTATTTTCCTTTAGTGTGCCCAACCTCTTCCCACTTTTCATCTTAAGAGTGAAGCCAAGAGTTTCTAACTTCCCCTTAGCCCCCTCCCCACATCTGTTCCTTGGTTTATACCCCAGCTGGATGAAAGACTACGAATAATTCCTTATTTTGAGAGGGCTGATAGACCCCCCCCCAACCAAAGCCTTCCTGAATTCACGGTCACGGATAATTTTCAAAGAGAACAAAAACGCTCCCACTTTACTAATAGGAATCCCATCTCTTTCCCACCCCCCAAAATCTTGCAGATCTCAACAAGCCTGGTAAGTGTCCCCTCTCAACTCATGCCATTGACGCTTTTTATGGGAAACACTGCTCCTCCGATTCCAGCTGCCCGAGCACTGAGCGCTGCTGTGCAACTAGGCACGGGAAGCAATGTCTACGCCCAAGTGAGGGTAAGTCTGCTTCCTGGGCTGGGAGGGAGACGAGGGGCCAAGAGGGTGCCTGCTAGGCCTGGTACAAAGGACAGCAGAGCTGTGGCAGGGTTGCAAGGTTCTTACTCTGCCACGAAATGCCACGGGACCTTAGAAGGAAGCTGGTCCGTGGTGCTTCATCCTCCAAGAGCTACAAGATTTGAGCTTTCCAAAGAATGGAATGGGACAACTCGCCACGGGACACCTCAAAGCAAGATAACGATAATATGTTGAATAATAATAAAATAAATACTAATAACATGAAGAGAAGAACGGGCCTAAAATACAGTTCTCTTGCATTAAGTTGTCCCGCGGTGAATTGCCCAACAGCAAGTTGGCAGTAAGAAGTTGGTGGCAGAGCGTTGGCTACGGAGAGTTGCTGCTGCGAGTTCTCCTAGACCAGGGGTAGGCAACCTGGGCTCTTTTATAACTCGTGGACTTCAACTCCCAGAATTCCTCAGCAGCATGGGGGAACTATGGCTCCCTCATGATTTATGGACTTCAACTCCCAGAATTCCTGAGCCAGCATGGGGGAACTATGGCCCCCTCATGACTCGTGGACTTCAACTCCCAGAATTCCTGAGCCAGCATGGGGGAACTTTGGCCCCCTCATGACTCGTTGACCTCAACTCCCAGAATTCCTGAACCAGCATGGGGGAACTATGGCCTCTTCATGACTTCTGGACTTCAACTCCCAGAATTCCTGAGCCAGCATGGGGGAACTATGGCTCCCTCATGATTTATGGACTTCAACTCCCAGAATTCCTGAGCCAGCATGGGGGAACTATGGCCCCCTCATGACTCGTGGACTTCAACTCCCAGAATTCCTGAGCCAGCATGGGGAACTATGGCCCCTCATGACTCGTGGACTTCAACTCCCAGAATTCCTGAGCCAGCATGGGGACTCGTCGTTGACCTCAACTCCCAGAATTCCTGAGCCAGCATGGGGGAACTATGGCCTCTTCATGACTTCTGGACTTCAACTCCCAGAATTCCTGAGCCAGCATGGGGGAACTATGGCTCCCTCATGATTTATGGACTTCAACTCCCAGAATTCCTGAGCCAGCATGGGGGAATTATGCCCCTCTTTATGACTGGTGGACTTCAACTCCCAGAATTCCTGAGCCAGCATGGGGGAACTATGGCCCCCTCGTGACTGGTGGACTTCAACTCCCAGAATTCCTGAGCCAGCCTGGCTCAGCTTGGAAACCTCTCCCTTTCCCCCCAGCATGGCTTGGTCAGGAATTCTGGGAGTTGAAGTCCACACATCATAAAAGGGCCAAGTTTGAAGACCCCTCAGTTAGAGGAACATAATGAAAACATAATTAATGTTAATTAATGTAGACTTTATTAGTTAGAGCAGGGGTAGGCAACCTTGGCTCTTTTATGACTGGTGGACTTCAACTCCCAGAATTCCTGAGCCAGCCTGGCTCAGCATGGAAACCTCTCCCTTTCCCCTCAGCATGGCTGGCTCAGGAATTCTGGGAGTTGAAGTCCACCAGTCATAAAAGAGCCAAGGTGGTCAACTCCTAGCCTAGACCCTCCAGAGAAGCTTTGCTGTGAACGCTCAGCCCAGCAAAAGTGAGCCTCCCTGGAAGCTGAAGGAGGGAAGAAGGAGGCGCGCAAGTCAGAGCTGCCAGAGGAGGATGGTGGTGCTGCCAGCCTGTGCTGAGGCGGTCTCAGTTGGAGAGAAGAGAAGAGAAGAGAAGAGAAGAGAATAGAAGAGAAGAGGAGCTGGAAGGGACCTTGGAGGTCTTCTAGTCCAGCCTCCTGCTTAAGGAGGAGAACCTATATAGTCTCAGACAGGTGACTGTCCTGTCTCTTCTTAAAAACCTCCAGCGATGGAGCACTCATGATTTCTGGAGGTGATTTCTGTTCCTCTGGTTGATTGTCCTCACTGCCAGGAAGTTTCTCCTTAATTCCAGGTTGTTTCTCTCCTTGGTGAGTTTCCATCCATTGCTTCGTGTCCTTCCCTCTGGTGCTTTGGTCCTGGCCCCCTCAGCCTTGTGGATCAGCTTCTCCGCGTAGCAGGGATGGAAGAGAAACCTGATGCCAACTAGCCAGAGAAAACCCTTCAGTGATGCCCTGCAGCAGCCCACCCACCCACCTTTGGCACATTTGGCCAGACCATTCCATCAGCCTCATGGAGTGTGGCAAAAGACCCCCACTTACTAATTACCAACTCCTTTGCCCAAGATGCCCCTGCCAGGCTGAGGAATGTGTTGCCGCATTTGGAGAGGGACTCTCCTTCAACTAGTGTACAAGCTCCACTCTGTGACTGAATGCCTTCTTCCCTTGTGTCCCCCTTTTCCCCCCAGAGAGTGCAGGATACTGCCCGCTGCTGATTCGCCCACCCAGCAGAAGAGACGGCTCTCTTTGCTTTGCCAACTGCACCGATGACTTCGAATGCTTCATTTCTGACTTTCACCGGACGAAGTGCTGCCCCTTTGAGAACAGGAAGCTGTGCATGGAAGCTGTGGAAGGTCCCTCTGCTTTCTCTCTCCCCTCCCCCTCCCCACCAGCCCCCACCCTCCATGGAGCAGGGTCTGATAGGCAGAGTCCCCAAGCCCATCATTTCACCCTCGGTCTATTCACATCAGCTGGTTCCTAAATTCACCTGTTTCCCGTACACGTGCGACACATGTGTCATAAAGGGAAGAAATATGTAAAGTGTTAATAAAGGAGAATGAGGGGTCCTTGGTACTCTAAGAGCTTTCTGGGTTTTTTGCAGACGTTTCATGACCCAACTAGGCAACATCATCAGTGCTAGTAAAGAGTGCAGTTTGCTGTCAGTTTATATTCTGGCATTTTGGACAAAGGCTTTCCAGTCTCTTCTTGAAAACGTCCAGTGTTGGAGCATTCACCGCTTCTGGACGCAGGTTGTTCCACTGGTTAATTGTTCTCACTGTCAGGAAGTTTCTCCTTAGTTCCAGGTTGCTTCTTTCTTTGATGAGTTTCCATCCGTTGCTTCTTGTCCTGCCTTATGGTGCTTTGGAGAACCGCTTGACTCCCTCTTCTTTGGGGCAGCCCCTGAGATATTGGAACACTGCTATCATGTCCCTCCTCGTCCTTCTTTTCATTAGACTGGACATACCCAATTCTAGCAGCCGTTCCTTATATGCTTTAGCCTCCAGTCCCCTAATCATCTTTGTTGCTCTTCTCAACATCTTTTTTACATCATGGTGACCAACACTGGATGCAGGATTCCAAGTGTGGCCTTACCAAGGCCTTGTAATGTGGTATTAATACTTCACATGATCTTGATCCTATCCCTCTGTTAATGCAGAGGGATGTTTGATTGGGGTGTTGTTTACAATATTGGGGTATTGATTACTATAAACAATACCCCAGTCAAGAAACTGCCAAAGAAACCAACAGCAAAAAGACTCTCTAAGACACCCACACAAACACTGACAGGGTAAGATGCCAGAATATAAACTTAAAGCAAACTCTACTCCTTACTAGCACATAAGACAAGCTCAGATAATGAAATGTCTGCAAGAAAACAAGCAAGTTAAGAGAGCACCAAGGAACCCTCATGTAGGGTGTGCACCCGATGTTAAGCCACAAAGTCACCCACACAAGCTTAACATTAACCACGTTGAGCACAGGGGCAGGCTGCAGATCCTTAGCCTTTCCGTGTCCTGGCACAGTTTCACATTGTGAGTCCTCCCAGGTCCCCAGTGCGACTCATCTTCCAAGCTACCAGAACCAAGCCCTGCATTGGGGTGGGCGTGGGAGGCGGTTCTTGTCCAATTTGAGAACAGGGGAGGAAGGGACACAGACACACTGGAGGGAGGTTTCTGCCATCCAATCCTGAGTAACGGCCTCCTCTTCCCTGCCTGTGGTGGAATGTAGCCTGGATTCCTATAAGGGAGAGGCTGCATTTCACAAAGCAAGGAGGCAGGAAAATGTAGATAGTTTGATCATGAGGCCGAGACTTGAGAAAGCTCCTTCCTAGAGATTCTCAGACTTTTATCTGTAATATGCAAATAGTTGCTTTAGTCCGGCAAGATTCCGTCTCTAGGTGAGGAACAGTAAAGGAAACTGCTCAGAAATAACTCTACGCATCCTGATGGGTTCTCGGGCCTGACACTCCCTCTCATTCTAGAACACCCCGGCGTGTGTCCCAGGAGACATGAAGTGTACCCCTTTGTTCCCTGCAATGACACCTGCATTGATGACCAAGATTGTCCCCTGACCGAGAAGTGTTGCTTCACCGGCTGCAGCCGAGGCTGCCTGCCCTCAGGTGCGTCCAGGCCTCCTTCTCCCACCTGTTTCCTTCCTCCTCCATCCTCTGCTTGAGCCCCTGAGCCAGAGGCCAAGCGAACTCCCCTCTCTCCCTCTCTCACAGTCCGCAGCTACCAGTGCCAGCCACCCCCAGACCAGGACAGCTGCTCAAAGGAGGTGCAGCGCTACTACTATGACCAGGAAAATAAGGAATGTGTCTCTTACCGTGTCTGTGAGGACAAAAGCAACAACTTTGAGACCAGGGAGATGTGTGAACAGGCCTGTGGGAAAATCAGCAAAGGTACAGAGGATCCGTGTTGCATTGAGGTCCCTGGTCAGGTCAGTCCACAAAGGCAACACTTCCCCGCCCCCCGGGTGAATTAGATCAGACGAGAAACACCCTCCAACGTTCCAGCTCTTTTAGATACACTACGAAAGTGTCTTTATTGGGGACTAGCTTTATTAGGGACACATAGAACCTTGCAAATAGGAAAGCATTTCCCCCGTCATCTTTTGCAGCCCAGGAAACTAGGGAGGGTCCCTCCTGAGACATTTCCTGGACCCCAGTTCCTCAGCTGCCTCTTCTCTGACTGTTGCCTCATCTGCAGCTTTTCCTCCTGTCCCCCAAGGCCGTTCCCACAGACCAGTGTTTCCCAAACTTGACAATTTTAAGGCATGAGGACTTCAACTGCCAGAATTCCACAGCCAGCAATGCTGGCTGTGGAATTCTGGGAGTTGAAGTCCACATGCCTTAAAATTGTCAAGTTTGGGAAACACTGCCACAGACCATTATAGTTACCAGAATTTCTGGCACTCGTTCTGAAGCCACTTTCCGACATGACCCATTCAGTCGCAACACAACATCACATCTTAGACCTTTGGGTCCACCTAAGGCTTTCTGGGAAAGGTGGCCCAATCCACTTCCTGGAAGAAAATGATTCCTTCTCTGTCCATCTCATTTTCCTTCTCTTGTGTTCTCATTCCCTACAGAGGTTTGCAAACTACCATCAGATTCTGGTCCCTGCTTAGCATATTCAGAATTTTATTACTACAACTGGAAGACCAAAACCTGTGAAATATTTGTTTATGGAGCATGCCAAGGCAACCAAAATCGCTTTGCCACCAAACTGGAGTGCCAAATGGTCTGTGGTGGATTCGGTAAGGAGCAAAAAAGCATGTGAGATTGCGTATATGCACAAATGTTGTGTGTGTGAAAAACAGCCCTACCTTAACCACAATCCAGTCATTAATCATTTCTACTAAGACACCACCTACATCGTCCTCTAGTTCATGAGTGAGCCATTCTCATTATCCTTAGAGTACTGAGATTGTGTTTCCAACTTCACTGTGGAACCGATCGTCCAATGGCCTCTTTGTGTTGGGTAAAAACTTGGTCATTGTGGTTACCTGGAGGAGCACAATAGCGGGAGATGGTTCTGTTCACTGTCACTCTCAGCTCTTTCCCCTTTTTTTTCAAAAAGTTGATGTGACACAACTAAACAACACTGAAGGTGGAGACAACCTCTCTGCTCCGGTCTTTTGGAAAAACAAGTCTTATGAAACAATAGTATCCTGAGGTGGGATTGTCAATACAGTGGCTGTGACTATGTGATTGAGATCCCCTCCCCCTTTTTTATCTTGTATCACACACATGACAGCATGGGGTGTACAAAGAAGGCCGATGATCCTCCTAAGAAGGAGGACCCTTGCCATGGGGTCATGACTGGTGTTGGTGGGCTTCCTGGCTGGTGATGCGCTGGAGGGGAGGACAGCAAAACTGGGGAGGGGGGAAAATGCCACAATAAACAAAAAACCAGAAGCAGCAGCATGAGGGTGGAGGAGGGTTTGGCACAGGGACACTCTTCTCAGGAGAATTTTCCCACAATATTACTACAACTGGAAAACCAGAACTTCTGAAACATTCATTTATGCATTGCGCCTTGGCAGTCATGTCTCCCTTTTCCCACCTATTGATGGGCCAGTGGGCAGTCCTTGACTCAGCAGGGGGAAAGGCCCAGGCTGGGGAGGAGAAGAAAGCAGAGGGACCCACTCAGGACTTCCAGTAGTCTCACTTGTCTGTGTGTGTGAGTTGGTGGTTGGCAAAATAGACCCACTACATCACTGTGGCAAGAGATTCAGGCTGACAAGAAGTGTCACCCACCACAAGGCTAAGCCCCCTTGGCTCTGCTCTGTTTATCCAGGAGCAGAAGCCCTTTGCCCACCCACCACTCCGCTCTTTTCTTCACAGAGCAACAGCAAGAGCAAGAGCAACAGCAGCAGCAGCAACAACAACAACAACAAAAAGAAGAAGAAAAACAACACCCCAAAGAATGAGCCCCTCCACGACATCCCTGCATGGAAGCGCAACCTTTGGAGCTGACGCCTCCACCATGGCTGCCACGGCCACTGCCCCAGCTGCGTTCCTGTTTGAGCTTCCTCCCTTTTCAAGAATAAAGACATGACTTTCCCTGCATAGTCTGAGTGTGGTTCTTGAGTGGGAGATCAACACCCCAGGCTGGTGTGGGAAACAAACAGCAACCCAGGATGTCCAGTGCTCTTGCCTGGAGCCAGACTGTGCTGGTTCCAGGCAAACACAACCAGCTGAGGAGCTAAGGCTCCAGCAAGACAGTTTCCCTTCTGCTCAATCCTTCCTCTTCCTGGGTTCTCATGCGGGACCTCTGGAGCAGGACTTTGATCCAGAGCTATAAGCTTCTTCACACCATTAAATTGCAGCAAAGTGAAAGAAGCCATCAGGAAAGAGTTCCAGCAACTGCTATGTACCAGATGCAAGCTCCATTTATAATCAAATCACATCCTTGCACCCCTTTCTCCCCCCTGCCCAATATAGATGCTTAGGGGACAGTTTCTTCCAAGGGAAAGACCTCAGTTTTCACTCCTTTCAGTGATGGATGGATCTGGGATCAGGCTATTTGCTGCCGACAGTGTGGAAATCCGTTCTCGCATCCATTGTGTCCCCACAAGTGTTGGCTTTGGAAGTCCGCTGTGTCCCTCCATCCAGAGCTAGCTTGCATGCTGCCAAGGAGGCCCCCTCTGAGGCTGAAGGGAGGGGTCTCTCCGGTAGCCCCTCATTTGTGCCACAATGTGCCACAGGAGGGTGGAGACAGTCCAGCAATGGCAGGTCTCACTTCCCAGCCAGATTCGGAAGACAATGAATCTGAGGCAGACTTTCCCTCATCTGGCACAGATCCACCAGGCCCATGGAGTGCAACAAGGTGGAACAAAATGTTCTTCACCAGATTGTAATGCAAACTGTGCTATTTGCCTACCTACAGAAACTAACAGGGAAGTCAAGATTTGCATTGTGATCTTGGAATGCATGTTCTACTATGAGTGACAGCCGTGTTTTTCAACCCTGGCAACTTTAAGGTACTGGCTAAGGAATTCTGGGAAATTGAAGTCCACTCATTTTAAAACTGTTAAGCTTGGGACACTCTGGGTTTAAGAAGAAGATCGTGGAAAGGGGCACCAGGCAGAGAGTGCAACTGGACTGGCATCTAATACACCTTTTATAATATCCTGTGACAAATGCAAGGGAGCAAAAATATTTCTTTTTCAAGTCTTTACCACTTTTTAGGTCTTTCCTGATGTACAATTACCATCTAAAGCAGTGGTTCTCAACCTGTGGGTCGGGATCCCATTTGGGATCGAATGACCATTTCACGGGGGTCTCCAAACAATGCAGTCCGCCATTTTTTTCCCCTTTTCCTTAGCTGTGCTTTTTATTCTATTGGCTTTTGAAAGCCAATAGAATAGACTCTCTTGAATAGAGTCTAATTCTACTGGCTTTCAAAAGCCAATAGGAATTGTCCAGGCTGTCTCTGCCCTGCTGAGCCCGCCAAAAGTCCCATTCTGTAAACGGTGCTGCAAGTTGTCTGCAGCGAAGGCAAGCTGTCTGGAAGTTTCCACCCCTCCCTGCTGAGCAACTACTAAAAATGTAAGTAAAAGAGGGCCAGAGGTGGGAGGTGGGAGGCCAGCGGGTGCAGGAAGGGTTGCTGGCGCATGTGGGGCCCAGCGGGTGCCTTACCTCCCTTGGGCTGGGCCAGCTGGTGGCCCAGCCGGTGGTCGGCCTGTGCTGTCTCTGCTGCTTGCCAGCTACGCCTCGGCCGGCGCAGGGGGCGGCACCATGCATGTGCGGCGCTTCCGGGCAGGGAAAGTCCTCGACTTATGACCAGTTGGGTAGTCCTTGGCTTACGATCGGTTTAATCCTCGACTTACGACCGGTTGTTTAGTCCTCGATTTACGACCGGTTGGGGATCGCGGCATTAAAAAGGTTGAGAACCACTGATCTAAAGCATAAAAAAATCCTAAGGAAAGCAAATATTTCTCAATCACACATAATGTAAAAGAGCAGAATATCTCCCATTGACATGGAAAGTACCTGGTTATATCTGGTTCCTCCAGTCTGGTACTTCCTGACACCCATAATTCCCAGCCAGCATGAAGTTATGGCTGAGAACATGGTGCCTCATGGTGCCGAGATCCTGCAGAGACCAAGTGGGGTCCCACCTTGGGTAGGAAAATGAAGAAGAAAGGAGTCCTTCACCTCTTGCTTAGGCTTGGTTGAAGGAGCTTGGTGGCCTTCTCGGTGGGTCTTCATATAGAACAAGAAGCCCCCAGATCTCCCCTCCAGTGAGTCCTTGCCTACCTTCTGCCTGCTCTTCCTCCTTTTGAGGTCCATATGTCCATGAGGGAGCAAAGAGAGATTCATCTCGTGCCCCTCCCCAAAGCAGAAGCTCCCACCCCTTCCCCTTTGAACTTGGAGAACATGGGAGTCCCTTCCACTTCCTCCCAGCTTCCTCTTTTCTAGTATCCCCTGGAAAGGGGACCCTGTCCATCCCCCACAGCCCAGGACTCTTGAGCCAGGCCAGACTGCTTTGGATGTTACCAGTCCAAGGGGCTCAGCCAGCCCCAACCTCACCCCATCCTTCTAGTCTGACCATTGCAATGTGCACACAAGGTGGAGTTCAATCATTACGCAAGATTGTTGCGTTCCTAGAAACTACCGCTGTGTCCTTCCTCCTTGTTGGGTTGTCTCTCCTGTCCAGAGGAAGCACTGCATTGCGAAAGTCCCACAATCCTGCGGTTAAACCGCTGCCATGCCCTTTTCTCCAGCTTTATATACTCCCTCTGCCTCGGGCGAGAGACCTCTTTCCTCCTGAGAGACCATGTGGGCCAGGCTCCTTCTCGTTGGGGTGCTCCTCTCCTTCTCTGCTGGCCTCCATGCGGTTGCTGGAGGGGATGATGGTGAAAAGAGCCAGATTCCTCTGAACAGTGAGTAGACCCTCAGCCAACCCCTGGTGGGAAATGGACCTGAGAAGTCGGTTTGGCTGGGCTGGGACTCCTTTCTCCTCTGGGGTGGGTTTCAAACAATACCCCTGTTCCCTTACATTAGCAAGCTAGGTCTTCCACTAGCAGATTCCTCTGCTTTCCAGCCAAGCCAGTGGCCAGCTAGTTTCCTATCCAGATGTCTCCTGGTTTTCTGAGAATCGTGTTCTCCCCCAAAATGGACCCCGAGAAGCTGGTTTGGTTGGGCTGGGACTCCTTTCTCCTCTATGTTGGGCTTCAGGCAACATTCCCTTTCCTTTACTTTTCCACCACGATAACCTGGGAATCCATGGCTCCTCAACCAGTCCAGAAAGCATCCTTCCAGCCCTGGTGCAACTCTCTTCGACCAAAGCTTGCTCCACTTCTGTGGAAGAACTGTCCTCCTCCGGGAGACAAATGGCAGAGTTGGAAGGGACCTTAGGAGTCTTCTAGTCCAATCCCCTGCTCAAGCAGGAGACCCTACAGACTGAAGTAGACCCTCAGCCCACCCTTGGTGGGAAATGGACCTGAGAAACAGTTTGGCTGGGCTGGGACTCCGTTCTCCTCTGGGGTGGGTTTCGGTCTCTGGCGGCTTTCCTTTCCTGCAGGGGCATCCCACCCCTCCCAAGGCAGGAAGCAGGTGGTCAGTTTGTCTTCTTGGCCTGCTGCAGAGGGAGACCCTCTCCTTCCCAGGACCTGTTTTCCAGCTGGCTGCTGCTGCTTCCCCACAGACCGTCTGGCTGGGTTGCAGTAGCTCTTAAGCCTTTGGGAAAGGGAGAGATTCGCATCCATGACCTTGAAGAGTGACCAGCTTCTGCTGGCATGGATGAGGGCGTTTTCCAGGCACGTCTCTTCTGTCCCCTGGGGATAAACGTCCTTGTTCCCCTCATGGGCAAACCCAGAGGACACGGCAGTGTGACCTATTGGGAATTTATCCACCCATTTCCCCACCTTTGGTAAACATCCCATCGAGGGATTCATTTACTCTGTAAACATTTCTGCCATTTATTAATAACCTGCAATGATTTGTTCCATATTCCCAGCCAAACGAAAATACTTCATCTTGGATGTCCTTCCTTTTTTGTTCCGCCCTTCCATTCCCCTAACGTCAGCTGTGAAGGCAACTTCTCCTTCAACCAAAGCCTGCCTGAGTGAGACCAGGCATGGCTGGCAGGAGAGATTTCTATATCATAAGAGAATAATAATAATAATAATAGTAAAGTTGGAAGTGACCTTGGAGGTCATCTAGTCCAACCCCCTGCTCGGGCAGGAAACCCTACACCATTTCGGACAAATGGCTGTCCAGTCTCTTCATAAAAACTTCCAGTGTTGGAGCATTTACTGCTTCTGGAGGCAAGCTGTTCCACTGATTAATTGTTCTCACTGTCAGGAAGTTTCTCCTTAGTTCTAGGTTGCTTCTCTCCTTGATTAGTTTCCACCCGTTGCTTCTTGTCCTGCCTTCAGGTGCTTTGGAAAATAGCTTAATTCCCTCTTCTTTATGGCAGCCCCTGAGATATTGGAATACTGCTATCATGTCCCCCCTTGTCCTTCTCTTCGTTAAACTAGACATACCCAATTCTCGCAACCGTTCCTTATATGTTTTAGCCTCCAGTCCCCTAATCATCTTTGTTGCTCTTCTCTGTACTCTTTCTAGAGTCTCAACATCTTTTTTACATCGTGGTGACCAAAACTGGATGCTGTATTCCAAGTGTGGCCTTACCAAGGCATTGAAGAGTGGTATTAATACTTCACGTGATCTTGATTCTATCCCTCTGTTAATGCAGCCTAGCACTGTGTTGTTACATAGGCCTGGGGACCCTTGTGGCCCAGAGCCAGGGATCAAAGCCCAGAATTCAGATGGGGGGATTCTCAGGATGAGACACACACACACACACTCACACACACACACACACACACACACACATTGTTGATGTCCCCTTGCTCCAGGAGCTGGTGAATGAGCCTTTCCAGCACTCACACCTCTCCTTTTGGACTCTGGTTCCACAGGGACCATACCTGGAATCCTGCATCTAGTTCTGGTCACTACATTCCCAAAAAAGACTTTTGGAAAAAGTGCAAAGAAGAGTAACTAAGAGGATTAAAGGCCTGGAGACTGAAACATACAAAGAACGGCTGCAGGACTTGGGTTTGGCTAGTCTAAAGAAAAGAAGAAACAGGGGAGATATGATAGCAGTTATTCCAGTATTTGAGGGGCTGCCACAAAGAAGAGGAGGGGGTCACGTTATTCACCAAAGCCCCAGAGGGTAGGACAAGAAAGAATGGTTGGAAACTAATCAAAGAGAGAAGCAACCTGGAATTGAGGAGAAACTTTCTAACAGTGAGGACAATTAACCAGTGGAGGAGAAGTTGCGTTCAAAAGTTGTGTGTGGGTGCTTCATCACTGGAAGTTTTCAAGAAGAGACTGGACATTCACCTGTCTGAAATGGTATAGGATCTCCTGCTTGAGCAGGCTGGACTAGAAGACCTCCAAGGTCCCTTCCAGCTCTACTCTATTCTATTCTATTCCTATTCTATTCCTATTCTATTCTATTCTATTCTATTCTATTCTATTCTATTCTATTCTGTTCTGTTCTGTGAGAGGGACCTCGGAGTCCTAGTAGACAATCACTTAAATATGAGCCAGCAGTGTGCTGCAGCTGCCAAAAAGGCCAACACAGTGCTAGGCTGCATTAACAGAGGGATCGAATCAAGATCACGTGAAGTATTAATACCACTCTTCAATGCCTTGGTAAGGCCACACTTGGAATACTGCATCCAGTTTTGGTCACCACGATGTAAAAAAGATGTTGAGACTCTAGAAAGAGTACAGAGAAGATCAACAAAGATGATTAGGTGACTGGAGGCTAAAACATATAAGGAACGGTTGCGAGAATTGGGTATGTCTAGTTTAACGAAGAGAAGGACAAGGGGGGACATGATAGCAGTATTCCAATATCTCAGGGGCTGCCATAAAGAAGAGGGAATTAAGCTATTTTCCAAGCACCTGAAGGCAGGACAAGAAGCAACGGGTGGAAACTAATCAAGGAGAGAAGCAACCTAGAACTCAGGAGAAACTTCCTGACAGTGAGAACAATTAAGCAGTGGAACAGCCTGCCTCCAGAAGCAGTAAATGCTCCAACACTGGAAGTTTTTAAGAAGAGACTGGACAGCCATTTGTCCGAAATGGTGTAGGGTTTCCTGCCCGAGCAGGGGGTTGGACTAGATGACCTCCAAGGTCCCTTCCAACTTTACTACTATTACTATTACTATTACTGTTCTATATCTTGCCTGCATTCATTATTTTTTTATAAACAAGTCAAGGTGGTGACTTTCTCTATTTTCTTTCTCCCAATTTTGGCAAAACTGACCTCCCCCCCCAACCCCACCGGGACCTTCAGGTTTCTGCCAGTTGCCTCCAGATCGTCAGAAATGCAGCGATGAGTCCTCCATCCGAGTCTTCTATAACTCCAAGGCGGGCGTCTGTGAAAAGTTTGTCTATCAAGGGTGCGAGGGCAACAGAAACAACTTCGCAACACAGCTAGAATGCCTGAAGGCCTGTTCCAGCCGTGGTGAGCAAACCTGGGGTGGAGGAGAAGGCTGGGCCGGGGGGGGGGGGGATTGGAACATTTTACAGACTCCTCTGCATGTCAAAGCTGTCTCTGAACAGAGAATAGAATAGAATAGAATAGAATAGAATAGAATAGAATAGAATAGAATAGAATAGAATAGAATAGAATAGAATAGAATAGAATAGAAATAGAGTAGAATAGAATAGATAGAATAGAATAGAATAGAATAGAATAGAATAGAATAGAATAGAATAGAATAGAATAGAAATAGAGTAGAGTAAGTAGAATAGAATAGAATAGAATAGAATAGAATAGAATAGAATAGAGTAGAGTAGAGTAGAGTAGAGTAGAGTAGAGTAGAGTAGAGTAGAATAGAATAGAATAGAATAGAATAGAATAGAATAGAATAGAATGAGAATAGAATAGAATAGAATAGAAATAGAGTATAAGTAGAATAGAATAGAATAGAATAGAATAGAATAGAATAGAATAGAATAGAATAGAGGAATAGAATAGAATAGAATAGAATAGAATAGAATAGAATAGAATAGAATAGAATAGAATAGAATAGAATAGAATAGAATAGAATAGAATAGAATAGAATAGAATGAGAATAGAATAGAATAGAATAGAATGAGGAATAGAATAGAATAGAATAGAATAGGAATAGAATAGAATAGAATAGAGAATAGAATAGAATAGAATAGAATAGAATAGAATAGAATAGAATAGAATAGAATAGCCAAGTGACACCTAAGCAATTTGTCTGGTGCATAAGCTCTCAGTGTGTACACAAACAACAAAGTGATAGGTCATGGATCATAAATTTAAGTTACAATCATTAATCATAAGATACACGCAAGTGATAAATCATAGGATACCAGTAGGAGAAAGCAGTAGGAAAGAGCAGAAGATGAGAAAGATAATAGTAAAACAGCATCACAAGGTCTTCTCCAGTTTTGTTTCTCTGTAGCCGTCTTCCTGATAAGGGAGACAAATTCTTTTCTCAGTGTCATGGTTCTGACAGATGAAACTCTTCAAAAGAAGTTCGAGGCATTATTTACTTTAAAGGATATTTTATTAGAGGAGCATAATATCGGCACTACATAATCGAAGCCAAAAACTGAATTCCCCTCCCCTAGGAGGGCACCTAGTATCAAAACACAATTCCCTCCTCCAATTAGTCATAAATCACATTCCCCAATTAGCTTGAAGCACAGGCTTTCTTCCCAGCTCTCCAGCCTGCCAATTCCTTATCAGCTCTGGTTACAATAACCTTGATTCTCACGCTAAGTTTAGTGTTGTTATGTCTAATTGGACTCTCGTTCACATCCCCCCCCCACTCCCAGCATCATCTAACTCTAAAAGCAAAAGGGAAAAAGATGGCTCCATTTCCATCTATTGTCAAAGCAAGAACATGATGTTAGCAGCGTTGACACTCAAGTGGATAGAGGTGGGAGAAGGAAAGGAGAGAGAAGGAAAGTAGAAAGCGAAAGTTATCCCAAGCGAAAGCAGATATACCCCCTCCCCCCATCAGAAAGGCAGGCCCCAAAAGAAAAGCACAAGAGTATAATATGCAAGGAAGACAACAAGGATTTGGGGACCTGACAATATTAGTGCAAGCTGCAGGTTTTGAGATATAACCGACAAATCTGGCCTTCCCACCGTTTGCCGAGTTAAGGGCTGATTATTGGCCAGCAACATTTCCAGGGGGGGGGGCTTTCACTTCAACAACAAAGAACAAAGGCTCAGAGTCTTCTGCCTCTCTCCAGATATCTGCCAATTGCCCAGTGATTCTGGCTTTGGCGATGTCTTTCGGTTCCGCTTCTTCTACAACGCCGTCTCCAGGATGTGCGAGAGTTTCCTCTACAAAGGCAGCAGAGGAAATGCCAACAACTTTTGGGACAAGGAAACCTGCGTCCAGTTCTGTGCACCAGAAGGTAAGATTAGATTAGATAACTTTTATTGTCGTTTTTTCCTGTGGGCACAATGGCACACGTTAAAAATAAAATTTAGTTGTTTGCTCTCAAAGTGTGCACATAAATAACACCACATTTAAAAACATACTATATACAACATATGTATAGACCAGGGGTAGGCAAGCTCGGCTCTTTTATGACTCATGGACTTCAACTCCCAGAATTCCTGAGCCAGCATGGGGGAACTATGGCCCCTTCGTGACTTGTGGACTTCAACTCCCAGAATTCCTGAGCCAGCATGGGGGAACTATGGCCCCTTCGTGACTTGTGGACTTCAACTCCCAGAATTCCTGAGCCAGGCATGAGTCCTAAAAGAGCCAAGGTTGCCTACCCCTGCCCTACACCCTTACATATAAGTAACATATAAATATTATTCACTGTCCATCTTGAATACATAACGGAAGGAGGAAGCTTGAGAGTTCACATGGTTGACACTGTATGGAACAAAGCTGTGAATCTGGATGTTCTGCTTTGGATACCACACACACCCCCAAAGGTAACAAGGAAAGCAGTTCGTGAAGAGGGTGTGTAGTGTCCAGTTTTGGTCGCCACGATATAAAAAGGATGCTGAGACTCTGGAAAGAGCAGAGAAGAGCAACAAAGATGATCAGGGGACTGGAGGATAAAACATATGAAGGACAGTTGCAGGAATTGTAACTGTCTAGTTTAATGAAGAGAAGGACGAGGGGAGACATGATAGCCGTCTTCCAGTATCTCAGGGGGTGCCCCAAAGAAGAGGGAGTCAACTTCTTCTCCAAAGCGCCTGAAGGCAGGACAAGAAGCAACGGATGGAAACTCATCAAGGAGAGAAGCAACCTAGAACTAAGGAGGAATTTCCTGACAGGGAGAACAATGAATCTGGGGAAATCCTTGCTCCAACACTGGAGGAGAGGAGATAGGACAGCCAATTGTCCAGAATGGTATAGAATCTCCTGCTTGAGCAAGGGGTTGGACTAGGAGACCTCCAAAGTCCCTTCCAACGCTGTGACTGTTATTCAGCTGTCGCTTTTCCTGCAGCACCACGGAGAGGGTGTCCAGAGGTCCACGGTGTCGGCATCTGTATCTCTCAATGCGAATCAGATGACAACTGTGGGGAAGGAAGGATCTGCTGCCCCACCGGCTGCGGCACTGTCTGCCGAAGTGTGAAGGTACGACTCCCATTTCAGGGGGGGGGGCGGAAACGGAGATTGAGAATGCTTTCACTGCTGTTGGATGCTAGATGAGCCTCCCCCCCTTTTTTTTTTCTTGGCACCAGGAAGGGCTCCCTGGGCGTGCAAGGCCTGTCCTGACTGTGGCGGGGTGGGGGCAGGGGGTGGCCTGGGGTCCCCTGGACCACAAGAACAGGAGCCTGGAGGGGGGGAGGGTGAAACCCCTCCTGGGAAGGGAGGAATCCCTAATGTGAAGCGGATGTTCCCCCTCCCTCAGGACTGGGCCTCTTCCTTGATGGACGGGTCCTCCTGCCGCTTGGTCAAGCTCAGGGCCAGGGAACTGGGAGGGGGGACCAGACTCTGCCCCTCCCTGTGGGGGGGTCTCTGCTGCTTTCCCAAGGCGAATGTCTCTCCTTTCCTTCAACAGGAACTCTGATCCTTTCCCAGGGAGAAGGCCTCAGGGCGGCCTTCTTGGATCCACCTCAGTGAAGACCTGACTATGCTGACAGTCTTCCTCCTCTTCCTCCTCCTCCTCACTCACTCACTCCACCCTCCTTATCCTCCTCTCCCTCCCTCCTTCCCTCCTTCCCTCCTCCTCCTCCTCCTCCTTTCTCCTCTCCTCCCTCCCTCCTTCCTTCCCTCGTTACTCCTTGTTACTCCTCCCTCCCTCCTCCTCCACCATACTTCCTTCCCTCCCTCCTTGCTCTTCCTCCTCCTTTCTCCTCTCCTCCTTCCCTCCCCCTCCCTTCTTACTCCTTCCTCCCTCCTTCCCTCATTAGTCTTCCTACTACTCCTCTCTCCCTCCCTTCTTCCTCCTCCCTCCCTCTTTGCTCTTCCTCCTCCTTTCTCCTCTCCTCTCTCTCCCTCCCCCTCCTTCCTCCCTCCTTCCCTCATTAGTCTTCCTACTACTCCTCTCTCCCTCCCTTCTTCCTCCTCCCTCCCTCTTTGCTCTTCCTCCTCCTTTCTCCTCTCCTCTCTCTCCCTCCCCCTCCTTCCTTACTCCTTCCCTCATTACTCTTCCTACTACTCCTCTCTCCCTCCCTTCTTCCTCCTCCCTCCCTCCTTACTCCTCCTCCCTCCTTCTTTGCTCCTCCTCCTCCTCTCCTCTCTCCCTCCCTCCCCCTCCCTCCTTACTCCTTTCTTCTTCCCTCCTTCCCTCATTACTCTTCCTACTACTCCTCTCTCCCTCCCTTCTTACTCCTTCTCCTCCCTCTCTCTCTCCCTCCTCCGTCTGAGGGGTCTTTGCTCCTCTGGCTGTTCCTGCTTCTGGCTCATCTTCTTGTTCCCCCCTCTGATGGAGATGAGCCCCTCCCCAATAAAAGATCTTTTCCTCTCACCCAAATCCCCTGCAGCATTTCATTTTTTTTCTTTGTCCTTGTAACCATCTCGACTTGGACTGGCCTCCCTTTGCATCCCCCTGGAGGACTCCTTGGCCCTCTTGCCCCCAGCCTCCCTCACTGGAGGGCTTCAAGCTAAAGTTGGCAGCCGTTGCTGTGAGGGCCCCTGCCCTGGGCCAGGGCTGGAGTAGAAGACCTCTCGGTGCCCCCCTCCCCAACCCAAGGATTCTCTGACCGTGTTCAGAGGGTCGAGAGATCTTGTTCTTTCTCCAGATCGGTTCAGGGCACAGTCGAAGAAGAGGGAGGGAGGGGAGGGGGCCAGACCCAGCCTCCTGAACCACAGTTTCTCTGCCACAAACCCCGGTGCAAATTGCAAGATTTTGCCATGTTTCTCTCTCACTTCCTCCCAGTGATGCAAATTAGTGTGTGGGGGTGGGTGGGAGGGGGGAATTGCTACCTTCTAATGAACTTGTGGAAGAAGAGAGGCCAAGAGAGGATCACCCAGAAATGTTGGCTGTCCATTTGCCCTCCTCAAAATAACTGAATCACAGAATAACAAGGTTGGAAGGGATCTTGGAGGTCATCTAGTCCAACCCCCTGCTCAGGCAGGAAACCCTATACCATTTCAGACAGGTGGCTGTCCAGTCTCTTCTTAAAAACTTGCAGTGTTGGAGCATTCACAGCTTCTGGAGGCAGGTAGTTCCACTGGTTAATGGTTCTCACTGTCAGGAAGTTTCTCTTTAGTTCCAGGTTGCTTCTCTCCTTGATGAGTTTCCATCTGTTGCTTCTTGTCCTGCCTTCAGGCACTTTGGAGAATGGACCCCCGGAATGGTATAAGGTCTCCTCTTGAGCTTGGGGTTGGACTAGAAGACCTCCAGGGTCCCTTCCAGCTCTGTTATGCTATTATTTCTTTTCCCTCCTCCTCCTTCCTCCCCTCCTCCTCCTTCTCCTTCTCCTTTTTTTCTTCCTTATTCCCCCAGCTCCTCCTTGCCCCCTGCAGGGCTGCTCCTACAGGGCTGCTGGACGCTGGTCCCTCTGGCTCCTTCTTGCTAGCTGCCCATCAGCTGACCAAACAAGAAACACACTCTCCCACACCAAGGTTCACACCCTTGGGTAAAGTGTCAGTGTCTTTAATGTTGTCTTTCATTATGTACAAACAGAGCAGTTTGGGCTTGGATTGGTTGGTTGGTTGGTTGGTTAGTTGGTTGGTTGGTTGATTGGTTGGTTGGTTGGTTGGTTGGTTGGTTGGTTGGTTGGTTGGTTAGTTAGTTGGTTGATTGGTTGGTTGGTTGGTTCGTTCGTCCATTCATTCATTCATTCATTCATTCATTCATTCATCAGCCTTCTATCCCAACTCTCCCCCAGGATGCAGAAACAGACACACACACACACACACATCTCCCCTATCTTTTCTCCACCCCTCTGCACATTGAGAGTGAGTGTCCAGGAGGGTCTCTGGCTTCCAGCCCACCCTGCAGCCGTTGCCTGCCGGACTTCCACTTCCTTTTTCTCCAGATTTGGGGCTTCCTGAATCCGGATGGGGCCATTTTGTGCCTGGACCGACTCAAAGCTGCCCCCCCCCTCAGCTCTGAAGGTGGAAGCTTTGGCCCTGCTGCAGCCAAGTCGGGTCCCCAAAGGCCCCCTGTGCTTGGGGCCCCCTCTATCCCCCTTTCTCTTGACACCCCACTGCCTGGTAAGCAAGACCTTTCCTGGGGCAAGGGGAGAGGGAGTCCCCTTGTTGTGGTTCCGGCTAATGAAACATTCCAAAGAACTTCCAGGCATTGATTTTCCTAAACGTCTTTTATTGTTACAAAATTTCGGTACAGGCACAATGGAGGGATGCTAGGATCTAAGTTCTCTTCCTCTGAGCAGTTAAATTATCAGCATGTTCCCTCCCTAAATTAGCCCTCATATCTCACATTATCCATTTAGTGTGAAGGTCAAAGGTTTCCTTCCTCTCTCTTTCCCGGGCTTTACCCCCAACCCCCCTTCTGCCCTGTATTAACTCCATAATTACCAGACAATTCTACATATTGTCAAAAGCAAGAATATACAATATTTGCAGTGTTGACACCCCTCTGGCCAGGCTACCCAGAATTGCCAGTCTCCTCATCTAATCTGTGGGGGGGGGGGAACGGAGGACCAACCTTCCTCAACACGCATGTAAAGGGACATGAAACTCTTTAAGGGGAGGGTCATAGCCAAGGAACACGCCAACCGGGTCCAGCCCAGGGATTGGGAGAAAGTGTCCTTTGGAGGCAACTTCACAGACACAGAAAGCAGACTATATGGAGGGGCATGGGGGGCATGGGGGGGGACAGGCAAGGTAGCTCCAATCATTCAGAGGCATCATCCTTGTCCTATCTCGGTGGCAGAGTCGGGGGTCCAGGAAAGCAGCTGAGTCGGGAATCCAATCGCGTGATTTTTGCCATCTCTGTTCCTGCCAACGGTTAGGCGCGCCCTGGAAATGAAAAGAGGGTGAGTCAGACTATGGGGGCAATGGAGACTATCCTGGATATTGGCAATAAAGTCATCAAGAACCACAGGAACATTGCATCTTAGGTTTAAAATAGCAGGGGAGATGCCCACTGGGTGAAAACTTTAAAACAGAGGTGTCCAATCTTGGCAACTTTAAAACTTGTGGACTTCACTCTTGTGTCCAACCTCCAAAAGGAATCTTGACCCTAAATCAGGGGTCTCTAACCTAGGCAACTTTAAGACTTGTGGACTTCAATTCCCAGAATTGAAGTCCACAGGTCTTAAAATTGTCTAGGCTGGACACCCCTGGTCTAAATAAAACAAGATCTGTGTCAACAGATTCTCGTTGAAGGGACAATCCAGGGTCAAATTGCAAGGGGGGGCAGGCCTCCCCAGCTGCCCCAGGGCCCCTCAGTGTGAAAGGGCTACCAGATAGTTTGTCCCAGGACAAGCCACCCAACCAAGAAGCCCTGCCTGGTATGATGTAACTCACTCAACCGGACAAGCGTTGACCGCTTTGGCCACAGTTGTCTTTGTGATCTTCCACCAGTCAAGCCACCAGAGAAGAGACTGGCACAAAACGTGCTAAGCCTTGGGTGAAGGCCTTATCTGCTACCCGCTGATGGTCACCTTCCTGTTTCAATGGAGGATGGGTCAAGGAAGGGGCCCCACCTCCGTTTCCTTTCCCATCAGGCCTTGCTTGTGGTGTGCAGAATAACAGAATAAAAGAGCTGGAAGAGAACTTTGAAGGGCTTCTCATCCAAGCAGAAGACTCTACACCATTTCAGACAGATGATTATCCAACCTCTTCTTGAAAACCTCCAGTGTTGGAGCACCCACAACTTCTGGAGGCAACTCATTCCACTAGTTAATTGTTCTCGCTCTTAGGAAATTTCTCTTAGGTTGTGTCTCTCCTTGGTCAGTTTCCATCCGTTGCTTCTTGTCCTGCCTTCAGGTGCTTTGGAGAACAGGTTGACCCCCCCTCTTCTTTGGGGAAGCCCCTCAAATATTAGAAGACCGCTGTCATGTCACCCCCCAGTCCATTTTCATGAGGACTGAGCAGGTGTAAACCACTAATCAGAACCCCGGATGTTTTTACACATGGCAACTTGCTCAACTAAGAGGATGCAGGCTTTGAAGAGATGGCCTTGAGATCTTGTGCCCAGCATGCATACCCACCCTGACTAATGGGCTGCAGGCCCCGGGGACAGTGAAGGTTGTGTGGGTCAAGACCCACAAGTGCCTGGAAGTCCTTGGAGGCAGGATAGCAGCAACTTTCTCAGGCAAACAGAGAGAAAGATTGCTGGTCCTATTTTCAAAAGTAAGCTTAGTGATCTTCCACAAAACTCTAAAGACCCGTTTATAAGGACCTCGTGTAAAATCTGACTAACCCTTCAGAAAGCACAGGTCAGACATTATGGAGGCAGAGGTTTCTTGGAAAGCAGTGTCCAGTCTCTCCAAACTGGAATGACCTGGGAGGGCAGATCCTAGCAAGATCAATGAATGACTAAGCTGGATCTACAGCAGGGATCTTCAAACTTGGCCCTTTTATGACTTGTGGACTTCAACTCCCAGAATTCCTCAGCCAGCCAGGGCTGGCTGAGGAATTCTGGGAGTTGAAGTCCACAAGTCATAAAAGGGCCAAGTTTGAAGATCCCTGATCTACAGCCAAAAAATGAGTTCAGTGGTGGACAACACTACTTTGAATGTGGAAAGAAGCAAAGAACCAGGGGTACAGTATTTTCAATATTTGAGGGGCTGTCACAGAGAAGAGGTGGTCCACCTACTGTATTCTCCAAAGCACCTGAGGGCAGGAGAAGAAGCAATGGATGGAAACTAATCAAGGAGAGATTCAACCTAGAACTAAGACATTTCTAGAGAGAGAACAATTCATCCATGGAATGGGTTGCCTTTAGACGCTGTGACTGCTTCATCAGGCTAGATTTTCAAGAAGAGACGGCTGAAATGTTATAGGGTCTCCTGTTTGAGTAGGGGGTTGGACTAGAAGACCTTGACGGTCCCTTCCCACTCTGTTATTCTGCTATGAGCCATGGGCTAGGAACGAGTCAAAATGGTTAGCAGACCAACTTGGGGCTATGATTAGCAGGACCTGATTGGTGGCCACTTCCCAGAAGTTGAAAGTATTTCAAATCATCCATGTCATCGCCAACTGAGAGGTGGCCTCAAAAGGAAGAGCTGTGTAGCTCCAAAGAAGATCTGGAGGACCATCCGTGGTGTCCTGCTAGGCCCATGCAAAGGGTCTTCAACTGTCTACCTTGGGGAGCCTCCTAATATTTGCTTTCGGCTGGCGAGAGGTTAGTACTCACCCTTGGTCGACCGACAGGTTCTGAGACACTGACTTTCAAACACAAAATTGTTCTTGTTGCCACCGCAACCACCATAGATGAATCCCTCACATTTGAGAGTGGAAACATTGAAGAAGAAGCGTGGGAACATCGCCTTACAGATGCCACCGACAGAGGGCAGCTGGCAAACATCTGCAGCAGCCAGAGAGAGAGAGAGAGAGAAGATGAGATAAGAGACAAAGGGAAATCAACTCTAGAAGTCCTCTAGGAGGAGGAATATTCCTGGAAAGTCCCCTGATATTTAGAAGCTCATTTCTGATGGATGTATATTCTGCAGTGAGTTACAGAAAATAAAAAAGAACATCAAATACCAGTATGCTAGAGAGCATTTCACTGAGGTTGCTGTAAGTGTCGCCATCTTGAGGCCAGTCCCCCCACCTACGGTCATTGAATTGAATTGAATTGAATACTTTGTTTGGCCAAGTATGATTAGACCCACAAGGAATATGTCTCTGGCGCAGAAGCTCTCAGTGTATGTGCAACGCAACAAAATAATAATAATAATAATAATAATCCTCCAGTGAGGCACTACCTTGACGTGGTTGTGGGGCTTGTGTACTCTGAGGAAGATGAGAGCTATGCCAGAGGTTCAACCATACTGGACAGGTCTCATCAGAGGAGTCAGACAAAGAGTGTCTCTCCCATAAAAAATATGGTGAGACGTAAATTGCAGAATGCCATACCGGCTCGGACGTCGCCCGGGTTAACAAGGTCCGCGCTAGATATTGGAGTTCCTGGATATCTGGTGAAAAATGGGTTACAGGACTCAGGACTGTTGGCTGAGCAACCAGGGCCAGCAGCTGCAGAACTACTGGAAGAAAAGGTGTTTACCCGTCCCAGATACACAGTGATGGAAAACAAAGAAATAATGATCTGTTACTACAGATCAAGTCCAACAAGAAGAGGATATCTAAAACGAATGCACCAGTTCTGGAAAGAACAATATCCAGAATCAGAAATAACAGAACAGAGACTAGCAGATCAACGCCGATTTATAATGTACACAACAGCTGCAGTTATAACTGAATACCTGGGATGCAAAATCAACAAAGAAGAAAAACAAACAAACAGTGCACCAGAAAAATGGAAGGTTAGACTAGAAAATAAGATCAGCAAGTTAAGATCACATGCAAGCAAGCTAGAACAGATGAAAGAAAAGAAGCTGAAGAACAAGAAGACCAAAGAATACCTAATCAAGAAATACCACTTAGAAACAAGGAAGATCAAGGAAGCACTGGAAATAATAAAGCAACAAATAACAGCTATAGCCAGGAAAATCAGTAGATATGAAGCTCGAATTGCAAACTATAGGCAGAACCTCCAATTTCAATCCAATCAGAAACGTTTCTACCAATCCATCAATGGAGAAACTGCAAGGAATCAGTCAGTACCTGACAAGGAAGAAACAGTGCAGTTCTGGAAGCAGATATGGGATAACCCAAAGAAATACAACAAGGATGTGGCTTGGTTAAAAGAGGTGGATGCAAATAAAACAGAAGTTGAAATGAAAGAACTAGTAATAACAACAAAAATGGTAGAAAAAAGAGCAAGGAAAATCAAAAATTGGTCAGCACCAGGTGAAGATGAACTGCATGGGTTTTGGTTGAAACATCTAACTGTTATACACCCACTCATTGCCAAGCAGTTCAACAATATACTACAAGGAGGAGAAATTGAAAAGTGGCTAACAACTGGGAAAACCTACCTAATAATGAAAAATCCAGCAAAAGGGGCAACACCAGGTAACTACAGGCCAATTACCTGCTTACCAACAACTTTCAAATTACTAACTGGTGTGGTAGCTGATGCAGTACAACAGCATCTAGTTGAAAACAATCTCGTTCCACCTGAGCAGAAAGGAAACCGCCCCAATAGCAGAGGAACAAAAGATCCTAATAGACAAAATGATCTTGGAAAACTGCAAGAAGAGGAAGACCAACCTGAATGTGGCATGGATTGACTACAAAAAGGCATTTGACTCTCTGCCACATGACTGGATAATCAAGTGCCTAGAAATAACAGGAGTCAGTAGAAACATCAGAAAATTTGTGCAAAGATCGATGGCACAATGGAAGACACAGTTGCAGATCAATGGTGAGAGACTGGGAGAGGTTAATATCAAGAGAGGAATATTTCAAGGAGATTCATTGTCACCATTACTATTTGTGATTGCACTGTTTCCTCTGTCAACAATACTGAATAACTCAGGACATGGCTATGAAACATCAAAAACATCTGCTAGACTATCCCACCTCCTTTACATGGATGATCTGAAGCTGAATGGAAAAACATCATCTGAAATAGAATCGCTGCTCAACACTGTTCATATATATAGCCAAGATATTGTTATGGAGTTTGGCTTGGATAAATGTGCCACACTTACTATCAAACAAGGAAAAGTAGTGAAAACTGAAGGAATCAAGATGCCCCACGAAAATAACATTAAGAGTCTGGATGAGGAAGATACTACAAATACTTGGGTATCCTTCAGGCTGACAACATCAAGCACACTGAAGTCAAGAAAAAGATTAGAGGTGAATACATCAAGAGAGTGAAGAAGATCTTAAAGTCCAAACTCAATGGAGGAAATACCATAAAGGCAATCAACACCTGGGCAATTCCAGTCATTAGGTACACAGCTGGAATAGTGGACTGGACTCAAGCAGAACTAAAAGCAATGGATAGGCAGACCAGAAAAATAATGACAATGAATCATGCCCTTCATCCACGCAGTGACATTGATAGACTTTATCTACCAAGGCAAATAGGTGGGCGTGGAATGCTACAAGTACATCAGATGGTTGAAGAAGAAAAAATGGCTTTGGAAGAATATCTGAAGAACAATGATGAAGATGCACTGAAATTAGTATATCAGGAAGGCTTACTAACTACTGGAGAGACCAAACTGGCCTACAAGAAAGACCAAATGAAGAACAGAATAGAGGCATGGGAAGACAAAGCACTACATGGCCAATACATGAAAAAAATAGCTGGGAAAGCAGATAATAATAAAACCTGGCAATGGCTAAGAGCAGGAAAATTGAAGAAAGAGACCGAGGGACTAATTCTGGCTGCACAAGACCAAGCCTTAAGGACAAATGCATACAAAGTCAAAATTGAGAAGACAGCAAAAGACAGTAAGTGCCGCCTATGCAAAGAAGCTGAAGAAACAGTGGACCACTTGGTAAGCTGTTGCAAGAAGATTGCACAGACTGATTACAAGCAGCGGCATGACAAAGTAGCAACAATGGTGCATTGGAAGATCTGCAAAAAATATCATTTGCCTGTAAGCAAAAACTGGTGGGATCATAAAATAGAGAAAGTCATAGAAAATGATAAAATTAAACTGCTCTGGGACTTCAGAATTCAAACAGACAAGCACCTGCAACATAACACCCCAGACTTAACAATTGTCGATAAGAAAGACAAAAAAGTCTGGATAGTGGACGTGGCAGTGCCTGGAGATAGCAGAATAGAAGAGAAAGAACTGGAGAAGATAACAAAATACAAAGACCTACAAATAGAAATAGAAAGACTGTGGCAAAAGCAAGCAAGGGTAGTACCAATAGTCATAGGCTCCTTGGGTGCAATCCCAAAACAACTGGAGCACCACTTGAACACCATTGGCATTGACAAATTCGCTATTAGTCAATTGCAAAAGGCGGCCTTATTAGGAACTGCTTCCATCCTGCGACGATATCTGTAATACCATCAAACATCCACATCTGCCTATCCCAGGTCCTGGATAAGGACTCGATAGGTAGACAAAATGCCAAATCCAGTCTGAACATCTGGCTGACTGTGCGATGATCCATAACAACAACAACAACAACAACAACAACAACAACAACAATAATAATAATAATAATAATAATAATAATAATAATACAACCAATGGGGGGAGAAAAAAATGCATGACATCTACCTTCTCAGAAAGGGGAGATGGAGATGTTTTGCAGGAGAACATTTGGCTGTTCCCAGACCACAGCAGAGGGCGATGTGCCTGTGAAAGTGGGGCATTGCCCTCCCTTGCACAAAGCTAATCCTGTCTTTGGGTGACATGCTAAGCCTCATGCCCTAAAGTTGGCAGATGTCAGGTCTTCCAGAACCAAGCAAGATACATCAAGTTATATCAAAGATGCTTTTTCAGGAGGCAACTGGACTTTCTTGTTTTTCTTTGAAGACGTTTTGTTTCTCATCCAAGAAGCTTCTTCAGTTCTGACTGAATGGTGGGCAACAGTGAATGGATACAGGACAGAAAACATCCTGCAGCCAAAAAGGCTCCACACCCATTTGCATCACTCAGGTGATCCTGAAAACACAGGTAAACCTCCAGGTGACCTCAATAACTCTCTGAAAGAAGGCAAACGACCAGCTGTCTGCAAGGAGTATAAATACTTCCATTCCCCACCATTCAGTCAGAGCTGAAGAAGCTTCTTGGATGAGAAGCAAAACGTCTTCAAAGAAAAACAAGAAAGTCCAGGTGCCTTTTGAAAAGCACCTTTGGCATAACTATGACCTCGATGACTGAGAATCTCCCTAAATATACATCTAGTTACTTCCAAGTAATTTCTTTATAGTTCCCCACTTACAGACAGAATCTTGCCATATGAAAGGAACTATTTCCATATTATAGATAATACTCTGAGCATCTCTACGGAGGAAGCATCTTAACTCCCTTCCTCCTGACCAAACTATCTGCTGCCTCTTTGCTTTCTGGAATGCAGCCTCTCCCTCCTAGGAATCCAGACTACATTCCACTACACATCTGTCTTTCTTTTCTCTAGACTGGCCATACCTAATTCCTGCAACCGTTCGTCATATCTATCTATCTATCTATCTATCTATCTATCTATCTATCTATCTATCTATCTATCTATCTCTATCTATCTATCTTCTATTCATCTATCTATCTCTATCTGGCTGGCTTGCTGGCTATCTATCTATTCATCTATCTATCTATCATCTATTCATCTATCTATCTTTCATTCATCTATCTATTTATCTATCGACTATTCATCTGTCTATATCTATGTATCTATGTTATCTATCTATCTATCTATCTATCTATCTATCTATTAATCTATCTACTACCTACCTATCTATCTATCTATCTATCTATCTATCTACCTATCTGTCTATCTATCTTCTATTCATCTATCTATCTCTATCTGGCTGGCTTGCTGGCTATCTATCTATTCATCTATCTATCTATCATCTATTCATCTATCTATCTTTCATTCATCTATCTATTTATCTATCGACTATTCATCTGTCTATATCTATTATCTATGTTATCTATCTATCTATCTATCTATCTATTAATCTATCTACTACCTACCTATCTATCTATCTACCTATCTGTCTATCTATCTTCTATTCATCTATCGTCTATCTATCTATCATCTATTCTTCTATCTATGTTATTGACTATTCATCTGTCTATCTATTCATCTATCTATCTATCTATCTTTCATTCATCTGTCTATGTTGTTGTTAATTGCGAAGTCGTGTCCGACCCGTCGCGACCCCATGGACAATGTTCCTCCAGGTCTTCCTGTCCTCTACCATCTTCTGGAGTCCATTTAAATTCACATCATCTGTCTATATCTATCAACTATTCATCTGTCTGTCTATCTATGCATCTATCTATGCATCTATCTATCTATCTTCTATTCATCTATCTATCTATCTCTATCTGGCTGGCTTGCTGGCTATCTATCTATTCATCTATCTATCTATCATCTATTCATCTATCTATCTTTCATTCATTTATCTATTTATCTATCGACTATTCATCTGTCTATATCTATGTATCTATCTATGTTATCTATCTATCTATCTATCTACTAATCTATCTACTATCTATCTATCTATCTATCTATCTATCTATCTATCTTTCTATCTATCTGAATAGAAGTGGAAAGGACTTGGAGATCTTCTAGCCCAACTCCTGTTCAAGCAGGAAACCGTATCCCATTTCAGACAAATGGCTGTCCAGTCTCTTCTTAAAAACTTCCAGTATTGGAGCATTCACTGCTTCTGGAGGCAGGTGGTTCCACTGGTTAATTGTCCTCACTGTCAGGAAGTGTCTCCTTAATTCCAGGTTGCTTCTCTCCTTGATTAGTTGCCATCCATTGCTTCTTGAGGTGCTTTGGAGAAGAGGTGGACCCTGCCCTCTTTGTGGCAGCCCCTCAAATAATGAAACACTGCTAGCGTGTCCCCCCCCCCACTCCTTCTTTTCTCTAGACTGAGAGGGAAAGAGGAAGGAGGGAAAGAATGAGTAAGTGGGGGGGTAAACAAATCTCCAGAGCCCTCAAAGCAAAGTCAAGGAGCCAAGCAGGCTGAGCAGCTCCCTGAGGCGAAGGGGGGAACAAAGGCAGCCTCCAGAGCTCTGGGTCATCCCCTCCCCTCCGGAGAAACAGAAACGCCACCCTGGCCGCCTGCCTCTGCTGGGTCAACAGCCACCGGGCCCCACCCTGGCTATGATGACACACCGGGGAGCTTCCCTTGCAGCACTAATCCCAGAAACTGGAAGACATGCCAGGCATGCAGTACAGAAGTGAGGAGGGGGGGGGAGGGCAGGTATCAGCATTCTTACACCCCCCTCCCAGAGCCAAATCCCCCCTCCCTCCACACACACCCTTCAGCCTAAGGCAGGCGAGGAAGTTGCAATTCAAGCCTTGCAAAGGAGCCGGGCTTTTGCAGGGGAGATGGCACTGGGCAGAGCTGTCCCTGGAAAGGTTGTCTCCACTTGGGGGGGGGGTCCAAGGCGGGCTTTTTCAAAGGGCAACTGGACTTTCTTGAGTCCCCCCCCCCTTGAAAAGCTTTCGCTTCTCATCCAAGAATCTGGAGGCTTTTAAAAGGAGACTGGACCGCCACTTGATGGGAAGGGTATCCGGTTCTCCTGCTTGGGTGGGGGGATTGGATTAGAAGACCCCCGAGAAGAAGACCTTCCTGTTCTGTTGTTCTGTTAAGAAGAGCCAAGGTGGCGCAGCAATTAGAGTACAGTACTGCAGGCCACTTTAGCTGACTGTGTTCAGAAGGTCAGCGGTTCAAATCTCACCGGCTCAAGGTTGACTCAGCCTTCCATCCTTCCGGGGTAGGTAAAATGAGGACCCAGATTGTTGGGGGCAATGTAAATGTATATATATATACATTGCTTACTGGTATGCACCGCTTAGAGAGTGCTTGCACTTAAAGCGGTATATAAGTCTCATAAATAAATAAATAAATAAAATAAAGCTTCTGCAGTTCCAGCTTCCGAATTCACAGGAGAAGCTGCTCGGATAAGAAGCGAAAGGTTTTCAAGAGGAAAAAAAAAAGTCCACCTGCCTTTTGCAAAAGCACCTCTGGGACAGCCTCCCCCCACGCCTCCCCCCAACCCAGAGTAAAGCAGTCAAAGGCTTCCCTGTGGGGATGCTGCAACGTAAGTGTGAAACTGGTCATAAATCAGTTTTTTCAGTGGGTATTATAAACTTTGGCCACCTAATGAGAAGGAAGGACTCCCTGGAGAAGAGCCTGATGCTGGGAAAGATGGAGGGCAAGAGAAGAAGGGGACGACAGAGAAGGGGGGGGGGCTGGAGGGAGTCCCTGAAGCAGGAGGCGTGAGCTTAAAGGGACTCCAGAAGATGGTAGAGGACAGGAAGGCCTGGAGGAACGTTGTCCGTGGGGTCGCGATGGGTCGGACATGACTTCTTTGCAACTAACAACAACAATAACTTTGAACAGTCCCTAAACGAACTTTGTAAGCTCGTAAGGACTACCTATTCGCCACCCTGCTCTGCCCCCTTCATTTCTGCTTTGGCTTCGAGTGGCCCAGCCCACAAGAACTGCCTCATGGGCCAAATGCAGCCATCGTGATGCTCCGCAAAGGAGATCTGGCATCTAGCCAGGAGTCTCTCCGGTCCCCAGGCACCCAGGCCTCCTCCTGCCCCCCTGGTTCCATCTCTGGTAAGCTGGGGTCCCTTGCCTCTTGCTGATCCCTGGTCAGCTTTGAACAGGAGGCCAACATGATTGGAGAGGAAGCTGGAGACAGATTTTTGTCCTCCTGGGGCCGCCAAGTTTCATACCTGCAACATGCTGGAAGTCCATCTTGGGAGCTGCAGCCCACCCCACCTGCTCAACCAAGACATCTGGCCCAGTTTGGCCATGCTGAGGACAGTCAGACGGTGGGGCCTCTGAGGTCTCTTCCCAACAGGAGAGACTGAGGACGCTTCCTGAACCAAGGCCAGCCTGGTCCTTCCCCACCAGCAATCAGCACCCAGATGAGCAGAGATGAACTCCAAGGTGAACATCAGACCAACAGTCAAGTAAGCTATACCCCAGTCAAGAAAACCAATAGTAAACAGCTCAACTGAAGAACCTCTAAGTTCACCGCAGGGCAAGACACTGGAATATAAACTGAAAGCAAAGCCCACTCCTTACTAGCACTGATGATATTACCTAGTTGGGTCATGAAACGTCTGCAAGAAAGCAACCAAGCTCAGAGAGCACCAAGGACTCCATAGTTGTTCTCCTCCTCTTCCTCCTCTCTGCAAACCCCCCTCCCTTCTAGCACTGTTCATGATGTTACCTAGTTGGGTCATGAAACGTCTGCAAGAAAGCAAGCAAGCTCAGAGAGCATCAAGGACCCTACAGTCTTCCTCCTCCTCCTCCTACTCCTCCTCCTCCTCCTCCTCCTCCACCACCACCACCACTACAACCTCCTCCTCCTTCTCCTCCTCCCCTCTGCAAACCCCCCTCCCTTCTAGCACTGATGATGTTCCCTAGTTGGGTCATAAAACGTCTGCAAGAAAGCAAGCAAGCTCAGAGAGCATCAGGGACCCTACAGTCTTCCTCCTCCTCCTCCTCCACCACCACCACCTCCTCCTCATCATCATCCTCCTCATCCTCCCCTCTACAAACCCCCCTCCCTTCTAGCACTGATGATGTTCCCTAGTTGGGTCATAAAACGTCTGCAAGAAAACCACCCAGCCCAAAAAGCACCAAGGACTCCATAGTCGTTGTCCTCCTCCTCCTCCTCTTCCTCCTCCTCCTCCTCCTCCTCCACCTCCTCTTCCCCTCCACAAACCCCACTCCCTTCTAACACTGATTATGTTCCCTAGCTGGGTCATGAGACATCTGCCAGAAAACCACCCAGTTCAGAGAGCACCAAGGAACCCACAGTCCCTCCTCCTCCTCCTCCTCCTCCTCCTCCCCTCTACAAACCCCCCTCCCTTCTAGCACTGATGATGTTCCCTAGTTGGGTCATGAAACGTCTGCCAGAAAACCACCCAGCTCTGAGAGCACCCAGGACCCCTCAATTTATTCTACCCAAACTGAACGTGAACCAAGGAAGGGTGCTGAAAGCATGACCCGACTGGGAGGTCTTAAAAGCAACAGAGGCTTGGGAGGGGGCTTCTTAGACCACCTTCCCACTCCTCTCCTTGACGGACAGGAAAAAGACAGGCGAACAGCAGACTGAGCGGGCAACTCACCCATAATGGCTTCCTCGCAGACATAGCCGCAGTCTCCCGGGCAACACTTCTGGGTCCCTGGGCAGTGGTCATCCCTGGCACAGGTGGAGCAGGACCCGTTCTTCTGGCAGGCACTGCAGTCCTGGGTGTCAAAGACGTCTCCCAAGGGGGGCACGTTGTAGCAGTAGCCGTCCTTGGCTGCAAAGCACGGAGGAGAAGTGAAGCCCAGGGAGAGAACGGGGAGTGGGGGAGGGGCTCTGGGGATTAATTCTACTTTGAAACTGTTTTGTCCAAGAATCCTCCCCCCCTTTCATCTAGCTTTCTCCAACTCCTCTGTACAACGAGGGGACAGATCCAGCCTATCCAGCAGTCAGTTGAGCAGGAATTGGTTGACTGATGGATGGATTGATGGTCTCGTGGACCGATGGATTGATGGGTTGATAGATTTATGATTGATCAGTTGGTGGCTGGCTGGCTGGCTGGCTGGCCAGCCGGCTGGATGCGTGGATGGATGGATGGATGGATGGATGGATGGATGGATGGATGGATGGATGGATGGATGGATGGTTGGATGGATGGATGGATGGATGGATGGATGGATGGATGGATGGATGACGTACCACCAAGGTTTTAGCAAGTGTTACCAGCTACACAGATGACTGAATAGGGAGCCTGCCCTAATTTTTGCCATGGGCAGTTGAATATTTGGGTGAAAGCTCCTGGGATCTCTAGAGAGACTATTGGGGAATCCCCTCCCCCACGTTTTAAGCTAACTCACAGGGCTGCTAGGAAAGAATAAAGAAGGAAAGGGAGGCAAGGAGGACCTCCCACTCTTGAACCCCAGAAGAAGGTCAGAATTCCACACCGTCTATGAAGAAGAGGCAGTGGTGGGATTCAAATAGGTGAACAACCGGTTCTCTGTGTGGATGCTGGTTCCGGAAGTCCATTCTGGGCCTGGGCAACAAAAAATTAGCTGCCGGTTCTGCCGAACTGATGCGAACCGGCTGAATCCCACCACTGAGAAGACAAGCAATTTCTAAATATATTGGATAGATAGATAGATAGATAGATAGATAGATAGATAGATAGATAGATAGATAGGTAGGTAGGTAGGTAGGTAGGTAGGTAGGTAGGTAGATAGATAGATACAGACAGACAGACAGACAGACAGAGACAGAGATTCATCTATCTATTCATCTGTCTATTCATCTATGTATTCATCTATCTATCTATCATCTATCATCTGTCTATCATCTATCATTTATCAGTTATCTATCTATCATCTATCTATCTATCTATCTACTATCTCTATATATCTATATCTATCTATTTATCTATCTATATCTATCTATTCATCTATCTATCTACTATCTCTATATATCTATATCTATCTATTTATCTATCTATATCTATCTATTCATCTATCTATCTATCTAGCCTCTGGCTACTCAAGGAATGAATAATGTTCACAAAATGGAATGAATAATGGAATGAATTATGTTGGAATGAATAATGTTCACAAAAACAGACCAAAAAAAAATCTCTGCCCACCACAATCAACTCCAGTCCAGGGTGAAGAGAAAGAATTGTGGTTTAGTCAAAACAAGTACACAGACACAGGCTAAGCTTTCAATGCCCATTGTGGTTGCCATCCTAATGCTTTGGTGCCACCCTGAGGACCCCCTTTGAAAAAAGAGGCCGGTCCAAAGACAGATTCTTCCATTCCAGAAGACTTCCAGGATCTATGCAAGGAAAGCAGGGATCCTCCAGCTCTAAGGAAGTTTGGGGGCCTGGGAACCCCCACAAGGGCTAGTAGCCAGTTCTGGGCACAGCAGGTAAGATCCAGGGCAGGATTTGAGACTGCAGGGCTCAGATCACCTCCTGTGCTACAGGCCTCCGGGCGTCTGGGGGCCTGGAAGCCTAGCCACAGAGCAAGACCCTTCGGGCTGCTCAAAGAAATGCACTGGGGCGGGTGTGTATGTGTACATGCACGCAGGGGTGGGGTGTGTGTAGCCCCATAACAACTTTTCCCTTTCCATCCCAGAAGAGGCTACACCCGTTCAGAGACCTGCCACTCCCACTGGGAGCCCGCACTCACCTCGGTTCCCTTTGCTGGGCAAGGAAGCCCCCTGGGTGCCCAGGGCGAGCAGTGCCAGGGCTAGGAGGAGCCCCCGGGCCTTCATGGTGCTGGCAGAGCTGCTGCGTCTGAGCCCCGGAGCCCAGCCAGGCTGGTTTTAAAGAGCCCTGCAGGTGGGGCTCCCTGGATGCCGACTCTGACAGGAGCCTCTCCCAGCAGCTGCGTGGATTCCCCACTAAGCCAGCCCTGCCCAGACAGGTTCCCCGAATGTGGAGGAGGGGGAGGAGGTGTGGCTGGGAGACTCCCACACATGGGGAGCCACCTGGGCTGCAGGTGAGGCTGCGGACGCCAGTCTATGCCAAGTGGAGCTGTACTTCAGTCTTGCCACTGCCCCAGGTGTGGAATGGGCCTGGAGGTGGGGCGCTCAGAAAAAGCATCCTTTTAGGAAGATAAAGAAAGTGTATATTTAATGTTACCTATGTTAACCAGAGCAAGAATTGTATTTGGTCAGTATTGGAAAAGTAAGGAAACACCCTCCGAAGAAGGGATAATAAGAAAATATTGGACTGTGCAGAAATGGATAGACTTACCTTCTCAAGGATGCAGTCTTTGGAAAATAGATAGATAGATAGATAGATAGATAGATAGATAGATAGATAGATAGATAGATAGATAGATAGATAGATAGATGGTAAATTATAGATAGATAATAGACAGACAGGAGAGAGAGAGAGAGAGAGAGAGAGAGGGTGAGAGAGAGAGAGACTTAAAGAAAAGGAAGACACAGAATATTTTCAAGTATGGGTTGTGTTTTACCAATGGCTGGAAAAAGGGTAGAGACTAGGAATTTAATATGTATTGTTAAGTAAACCACATTGCTTACTAAGCAGTTATGAATTATAAACTCAGAAAACTAATAAAATGTTATAAAAAGAAAAACAAAAACAAAGGCATCCTTTGGACTACCAGCAGAAACCCAACTGGTGCAGAGGAACTAAAGGCCAGGACAAGGGTCTGCAACCTTGACACCTTTAAGACTTGTGGACTTCAGCTCCCAGAATTCCTCAGCCAGGGGGTCTGCAACCTTGACAACTTTAAGACTTGTGGACTTCAGCTATGCTGGCTGAGGAATTCTGGGAGCTGAAGTCCACAAGTCTTAAAGTTGTCAAGGTTGCAGACCCCTGTCCTAGAAGGAGAACTTCAGAGACCACCTTCAGTGTCATCTTCTCTGCAACCCACCCAATTCTTTTTTTTTTTTTTTTTTTTTTTTTTTATTGAAAATTTTTACATTTTACAAAAACAAATCCCCTTCCCATACCCCCCCCTACCTCACCCCCCCCCCTTCCCAAGCTCCCAAACCCTCCCCTGGACTTCCCAGAGCTGAGTACAGGCTTAATTAAAAAAAAAAAAAAACTTAAAACACTTTTAAAACCTAAACAAATTTAAATACAATCATCATTCTATATAAGCTCCCTCCAAAAACACAAATTTAAACATTACTTTCTTTGAATATCTATATCTATAATATAAAATCTAATTTCTCCCTCTTTCTTTATCCTAAAACGAAAAAATAAACATACAAATCTTTGTTATACCATTAAAGCTAAATACTCTTAAAGAACTTAAAGTAAGTACATATTTCCTTCAATCTTCATAATCTTCTCTCCTATCCAAAAAGAAAAAAAAAAACTTAAAAAACCTATAAGTCCTAAACAAATCTAAGCACATTTAATTAAACAAATTATTTTGTCTTAAAAATATTAATAATAATATTTAAAAACTAAAAACACTTTTAAATCCTAAACAAATCTAAATACAATCATCACTCTATATAAACTCCCTCCAAAACCACAAATTTTTAAAATTTAAAACATTAGAATCCACTCACTAAAATAAGCAAATTATAATCCCTTCAAAACACAAATTTAAACAATATTATCATTAAAGGTTCAAAACTTAAAACAACAAAGTTAATAAACACATTAAACATTTCAATCTTCACCAATAACTAATTCCATCCATAAAAAACTACATCCTTATCAATCTCAATTATATTAGTATTATTAATTATTCACATTCCAGTTTTTTCCATTCTCCATTCTTCCATTCTTCCATTTCCCTTCTCCATTCTTGTATCAAACTCGTAAGAAATGCTGCAAGTTCTGCCTTAGGAGACTGCTCCAAAATTCCTGAATCTCCCATCGACTCCGAAGCCAATAAGGGTTCCTTAAATTCCTCCTTGTATTGATCTTTACAATTGTAAGTTGTACAAGTTATCCTCTGCCCGTTCCTCTCTTGTTGATGCCCCTCAGACTGAGATTTCCCAGTTTCCATTTCAGGCAACAATTCCACCCTTAAAGATTGCTCCAAAGACTTTGTAGGTCTAACATCTCCCAGAGATTCAGAAACCACTAAATATGAAACTTCCTTAACCTTCTTCTGTTGCTGCTTTTCTTTGGGATTATATACTGCACAAGTTGTCTTCTGCTCCTCAACCTGGACTTGTTGAGGCCTCTCACACAAAGATTCTCCAGTTTTCATAAATATAGGCTCTTCAAACTGTGATTCTACATTCTTTTCTTCCAAAGCTTTAAACTTAATTGATGGCGATGCACATACCCCCAGGACCGAAGTATAAAAATCTTTTGCTTGAAAAACAGTATTAAGTCTATAACATGTCCCCAGGTAATTCACCACCATTCCAATCGGAACATCCCATCTGAATGAAATTTTTCTCTTTTTAAGTTCATTTGCTAAAAAAGCAAACTCCTTTCTTCTTCTTAAAATTTTAGATGGGATCTCTTTAAAAATTATAACATCTTGTGAAGCAATTTGAAATCTCTTCTTATAATAGGCTTGCACAATTTCATTGCGTAAAGATCTTTTACCAAAGTAAATTACCACATCTCTTGGCAGATTCTTCTGTGCTGCCACCACAGAGTTAACCCTAAATAATTTTTCAATTTCATTAAGTATTCCCTCTTTTTCTTTATTCAAAATCAATGCAAAGTCCTTTGCAACCATCTCCTTCAGATCTCCTTGCAAAGACTCTCCCAGGCCTCTAATTCTTAAGGCATATTCCATTTGTCCATATTGAAGCATAAGAATCTCATTTTCCATTTCTTTTTCCATACTTTCAATTTTCCCCTCCATTATGTCCACTTTTTCAGCTACCTCTTCCACATGGGAGTTCACCTTTTCAAGAACAGAAGCAACACCTTCTAAAGCCAAAACAAAATCTTGTCTCAAGATCTTATTGTTTTCCTCTAAAATCTTTTTCATTTCTGCCCTAATTTGAATTATAACATCTCCCATCATGTCTTGCAAGTCCTTCATAGTTATTAGCTGACCCCCAGAAGAGGGTGAAACTGTTGATTTAGAAGCTGTAGAAATCCCTGGACGCTTTGGAGCCATCTTAAAGAAAAACCTTTAGTCCTTCTTAAGAAATTATAAAAATTCCTTCAAAAATCATAACTCCCTCCAAAGAAGGTCATTATAATAAAAAGAAAAAAGGGAAAAAAAGGAAGAGAAAAAGAATTAAAAAAAAATTTTACTCCTTCTTAAAAATTACAAAAAATTAAACAAAAAAAAGTCCTTCAAAAAAGGGTCATTACAAAAAAAAAGGGAGTTCAAAGGAAAAAAAAAGGGAGAAGAAAAAAAAAAATAATAATTAAATAAAAAAAGTCCGTTCCAAAAAAAATACTTAGAGATACCAAAAACAACCATTCCAATCATAAGGAAATAAAAAGAGAAAGGGAAAGGAAAGAAAGAAAAACACCAAAAAGCCTGCCGGTCAGCATTCTAACTTCCAGAAAAAAAAAACACCGAGGAGTTTGCCGATCGCCATTTTACTTTCCCTTTCAACAAAGAAAAAAAATAAAAAGAGAGAATAAAAATAGAAACAAATCTTAAAACTTAAAATCCAAATAAGTCAAAGAAAGCAAAAACTAAATCCTCTACTCAGCTCTGTCCATTTAAAAAAAAAAACTCACCAGTTCTCTTTAAGCACGGAGGTGTTTGCGGCGGCTCGTTTTGTCCCTGAGGACAAAAACAGCTGGGAAGCGGAGACAAGTCTGAACTCCGTGGGAGCACTCCTTTCACCCCCCCAAAAAAAAAAACTTGGGGGGTGCGAAAGAGGCTCTACCACTATTCAGACACTCTCTACCCCCCCCCTTTGCCCGGGAGGGGGATTTTGAACCGCTGAACAGCTGGTGTCTGCTGTTCATAGCGGTTCTTACACTTACCCAGGAGGACGGCTACAAAGTAGCCGCCATCACGCACGCAAAATCCACCGGAAGTCCCAATTCTTCAAAGATCCAGGACTTGGGGCTGTTGATCTCTGAGCTTGGCGATTTGGCTGCAGACGTTTCATCTCCATGGGGGTGGGGGAGAATCTTCAGTGCACTTTGAATCATGCTCGTCTGTCGGGGTGCACTGAAGATGTCACACACACACACATACACACACACCAAATGGAGATGAAACGTTTGCAGCCACATTGCCAAGCTCGGAGATCAAATCAACAGCCCACCCTAAACCTAACCAGAGCTACTAATATTCAAACACATTTCATCCAGGACTTTTCCAGGGCTGATGGGTGCATCCAACGTGGAAAATTGACCACTTCCTCCTCGAATCAAGCTGGGAGTCAACAGGAAGGGACGACGCCTTGGCCAGAAGCAATTCCGGATGACTTCCAAGTGCTTCTCCAACTGGTTGGCCCACACAAAGGCAACCTAGAAGGAGAGCAAATTATACTTGCGCTTCCTGGTCCCGTCACCACTTCCACCTCCTCCAGTCTGCAGGATTCACGACTTCATTCTCCAGCCTGCTTGTCATGGTTAGGACAGATGAAACTCTTCAAAAGAATTTCGAGGCATTGTTTACCTTAAGGAATCTTTTGTTCGAGAAACAAAGTATCGGCACTACATAGTTGAAGCCAAAAACTGAATTCCCTCCTCCAATTAACTGTCATAAATCACATTCCCCAATTAGCTTGAAGCACAGGCTTTCTCCCCAGCTCTCCAGCCTGCCAAATCTTTATCAACTCTGGGCTCAGTAACCTTGAGTTCCCATGGCTGTGTTTTTTGTTGTTATGACTAACTGGACTCTCATCCACATCCTCCCTCCCAGCTTCAACGAACTCTAAAAGCGATAGAGAAAAGATGGCTACATTTCCATCTATTGTCAAAGCAAGAACATC